CACGCTGACCACGCTCTTTCTCACTGCGGTGCTGCCTACAGCCGCTATCCCTCCCCCCCTCCCCCCGGTAGCTTCCGGTCTGGAATTTCCGGCTTAAACTAAGAGCTAATAGCACAGCCTGCAGTGGCCCCGCTGTACTCTTTTATCTCCTTCGCTCCGCTAAACTTACCATTTTCCTGTGTGTTTTCTCTCCCCCGACTTCATGACAGATTGCCGGTTGGCCGGCGGCGCTCACCGGGATGGGATTACCCGCCTATCCCCCGCGCGGCGATCGAACCGCTTCGCACTATCGCCTAAGCACCCGCTGCAAGCTGCTGAGACGTCTATTTGCGCCGCCACCGCCGCCGCCGCCGCCGCCGTGGCTGTATTCAATACCTAGACAGATCGGGATCGTTATCCTCTTACCTCTACAACGCGTGGGCGATAAACTTGAGAACTTAGTAGGGCCATCGAATCACAAAGGGAAAATTGCAGCCGTGCGAGAAGTACCCTCGATTGCAAATTTAATCTGTCAGATTTACTTAAATAAATAACGTTATACGCAGATATTTCTGGTCTGACGTCAGTTCCACGTTACTAAGGAAAAACTTCGCCCCTCCCCCTCCCCCTCCCTCCTCACGAAATCTTTTAGCACTTAACTGATATATTTTCAACCTGTCAAGTTGGCCCGTTAGCAACTGCATTGCCCGGCTGCTTTTTTAAGACGAGCTCCGAACGGGACAATCAGTAAGGCATTAATAGGTAATGCGACATCGAAGGCTACTTACGATTGTAAGGGGATAAAGTCGTCTCAGTCGAGCGTCTATTCGGCGAGGGAGAAGGAACGGGGGGATGAGGTAGGGAGGGTGGAGGGGGAGGAAGAGAAATGGCCCAAGTTGTCGGTGACAGAAAGAGATGCGCCACCGTGTACTCGCAGGATCGCAGTCCTGAGAGACGGATTGAATATTCCAATGCACCGAGAGGCGATCAATAAATAGACGCGATTCCTAGGGAGCTATCCTAGCGGGACCGGCCCCCGCTATCCATTACCGATCCCTATTCAGAGCGCGAGGACGATGACGATTCCTCGAATGACGAGCCAGATGCACACGGGCGGGCGCTGCGCCGCCGTGTGCTGTATATATTCGCCCGCCTATTAGTATTCAGGCGACGACGTGACGCGCCGCGGTAATGACGAGAATGTAAGGCGGGTGCAAGAGGAATAGCGTCGACGCGTGTTAACAATATTCGGGAGGACCATATATATACCTTGCGCTCGATTATTACCACGAAATGGATTATTCGCGAAAACCAGGGGGAGGGAGGGAGGAGTCGAACTGCGAAGCGCAAAGGACACGTCCCGCTCGTCTCTTAGCGTGAAACCTTTATTCAAATTAATATATTTATTCAATATGTCGATCGTCGTATTTCAGGTGCATTCCATGTATAAAATATTGAAGTGAATTTTTAAGAACACTAGAATTCGATATTTTATATATCGCGAACGAGGGGGTCTATAAACAGTCGGGCAAAATAATTAAAGTTGCAGAATTCGGGAAACTGTGTCTTGATTACGGCGAAAAATTGGCGCGTACACGGAAAGAACGATTTTGTTGAAAGGTCCAAAAATTTTGCTAAAAACGGATCTGAAAATAATTTTTTGTTGAATCATCAAAAAAAATTTGTTAGATTGTTAAAACTGATAAGCATTGCTATAAAACATTTTGATATTCTAGCAATCACTTTGGCTTTCGCACAAAATTATTTTGATTATTGAACAAAAATTATTTTCAGATCTGGATTCAGCAAAATTGTTCTTTCCGTGTATACACGGAACGAACGATTTTGTTGAAAGGTCTAAAAATTTTGCTAAATACAGATCTGAAAATAATTCTTATTTAATCATCAAAATAATTTGTTGGAAAGTTAAAAATTATAAGCATTACTGTAAAACGTTTTAATATTCTAGCAATCATTGTGACTTTGCAACAAAATTATTTTGATTATTACAAAACAAAAATTATTTTCAGATCTGAATCCAGTAAAATTGTTTCTTCCGCGTACCTTTCAGCGAACGTTGATTGCCGCACAACTCGGATTCCTTTTCCTGAGCGACTGAACTTTTCACGGTGGATTGGCTCCACGTATCGGCGCGAGACGACGACAGCTCGAGATTTCTTTCCGCGAACGGAGGCGTCTCGGTGAACTTGCCCGCGGTCAGAGGGCACTTCCCCCGCTCCCTCAGCACGAAATGATCCAGGAGATTCAGATATTCCGTCTCCAGCCTCGTGGACACCGACGACGAGTACGCGCCGGCGTCGCTGCTGTCGAAGAAGTCCAGAAGATCGTCGCCGACGAGGCCGCTCCTGTGCCCGGTCCGCGAGTCCGGCGTGTTCAACTGGATGTAATTCAGCACCACCTCGCCCGGCGGGTAGTTCGCGCCGTAGCGCTCCCGCAGGCTCTCCTCGAGGCTCTTGTAGCGGTAGGAGTTGTAGTTGCACGTTATGTCCACCACCGGCAGCTCGATTTGCGTCGCCACGAAGGTGGACGAGTGTTGCGCCAGCGGGATCGCCTTTCTATAAGCCGGCCGCTGCTGCTGCCGGCCGACGGACGACACGACGCGCGGCACGGCGGGTGACGAGAGGACGGTCCTCATCAGGCACACCATCATCCTCGACTCGGAATTGGAGTTTAACAGGTTTGGTAGCTTGGGGTAGTGCTGCACCACCCCGAGATTACGCCTGACGCCGTACCGGGCGTCGCCGGCGCTCTCCGTCAGGCGGCCTCGTAGCATCGCGAGTAACTTCCAAGGCGGCTGCTGCAGCTGCAAATTCCAAATCCGATGTCGGGGGCGGGGGGGGGGGGGTTAAGCACGCGTGATAAATAAACGTTTCGAGAGGCGCGGAGGTGAAAGGAGGAGAGCGTGGACCGCCGCGGCGGCGGCGCTCCTACACTTTAACTTCAATATTACCGGGGGAGATACCGGTCAAGATGATTAATGAGCGCGCGCGCGTGACACTTTTTTTTTTCAATTAGTTGCCCGCCTTTAATGCATCGTGTCCTTTTACACACACGGGGGGATTTGTTTCCCCGGTATTTAACCTACATATCCGCTCGTGCGCGCGCGCGCACGGCGCAATAAATCATTACTGCCCTTAGACGAAAACAATTCGTAGGTGCAATTTACGATCAATTAATCTTGATCACGTACGACAAGCGTCTGCAGTTGTACGAGCAGCGGTAACATCAGGATCAAGCCCAAAATTATGGCGGAAACGCTCTCCATGGTTGTTGGCTGCTAAGAAATCTTGTTGCTCGCGAGATGTGGGTCGGACGGGTCGTTCCGTGTCACCAGGCCATCTCAAAGCGCGTCGCTGGCCGGTGCGCGGTGCCGTCATCGCAGCGCCGTGTCAATTTTGATCGGTGTGGTACGGTTCGTGATTGGAAAACCGAGGCATGCTGAATTTTTTAACGCACTGTGAAGTGCGACGAATCTCCTCGACACGCCGTGAACCGAGCGACGAACGACTGTCGATCGTTCGTAAAACGATGTCGTTTACATATACACGTATAGGAACTATACATACATACCTATACATATATAAACGCTTCTGACCAATATTGTATGATATCGTCCGTTGGTGTAATCGAATCGAATCTAGAGCCGAGCGCAGTCGAAGTAACATTGATTGATCAAAAAAAGGTTGTCGCGCGAAAACCGCGAGCTTCCCCGTCCTCCGTTCTCCAATCGTTTTCTATATACAGTTTCTGCAAATCGCGAACCGGGCCGATCGTCGCGCCGCGCGATTTGCCTACCCTCGCGGAGGCTCTCTGGGCTTCCATTATAGCGTAATAACTCGCAGGATTCGGCACACCGGAAGAATGGAACGACGCGCGGCTTCTCTATAATAGGATGCAATTTAGACGCGGTCGGGACAGACAACGCCGCGTCCTGCGAAGCGTAAATCACGGGCACGGCAGTGGCCCCGCGGGGGGTTGCACGTGGGCGGGGTTGGCACGAGGAAAGTGGAGGGTAGAAGTGCATATCTTAATTACAATATTCCCACGGGCGGAACACAGGGACCCCTATGCCCGCGCGCTACGCCCGAGGCCGCCGCGCACCGTCTCTCCCTTGCCCAGCCTCGCGTACATCCCTCCCGTACGCCCCTTAGACTTACCCAGGCAGCTTGTAGGAATTTAATTAATTTGCCAGTGGCGAGCAGGCTTGCTCCTTGTCGCCACTCTGAAATATTGTATCCTTCCCACCCTTTAAAATCCGATCCTGCAGCCGTTGAGCGTGCTCCTTCGCCTTCCCTCCCCCGGCGCTTGCAATTCGCGTGCGATTACCGCGCTCGGTCGCCCCTTATCTCCTCCGCTCTCTTTCTCTCTCTCTCTTTCTCTCTCTCATTTAACCCCTTTCTTTATTTTCTAATGGATACGCGTCTCCTGCCGAGTTACAGATCAGGTACCGTTTTGCGGCTTTATTAGTTACGGCCGGAAGTGCCGAGCGAGACGCGGGGAAACGGTTGAGCAAGCCGAAACTTTCGTTGCCTGTGTACCGTTCGCCGGCCTCTCGGCACGAATAATAAGCGCAAGTTTGCACTCGCGCGCGCGTGACAGAGAAAGAAAAGTTTTCGAGATTTTCGCTGAAACCGAAATACTTGAGAAACTCGGAACTTTCTTCCCCCCACGGAAGACTCCGCGGGAATATGCCACACGGTCGACAAAGCGGAAATGCTCTCCCGGCGGCCCGATGTGGTGCTGGAGGACACTGAAAATCTTTCGAACTGGCGCGAAGGAACGCTAAATATTGATCACGTGCGTATTACCGCGTGCGTATCATTCGGATTGTCAAGAGATTTCCCAATGTGGGTATAAGCCAAGTTTTCACCGAGAAAAAAAAAGTCAGTTCCCGAATCGAGAAATAATTCTCACGCGTCACGAATGTTCTACAGCACGTTACAACAACGTTCGTCGTTCGTATGTTTTCCGTCCAGAACTTCCCGGATTCTCTACACCGGTTCAGCACCACGTATGTATGTTTCCAGATGTTTGGGGTTCCTCCGAAGTTCGAAGTTTCACCGAGTACCGGATTTACCACAACTTCCCGATTCCCGGGCAAGTTTTGGGTCTCGCATCCCCTTCGACGGCGATAATCAGATGACGTTAAGAACTGCAGTTGCATCGCGCGGGGTATGAAATTTCGTATCGCTTTCGTTCGGAAAATCTCGCGATTACGAAGCGCGCGCGCGTATTCTCGATCTGCTTGACAAACTGATGGATAACGCAAAATCAATATTCATATTTAATTGCGAAATACGTTAATTAACTAGAAATACGATGAAATTGAAAGATCTCGTACTTTGCAAGTTATAACGTATAGCCTCAATAGCGTCTAAGGGAATTAATTTCGAACCGAAGACGACGACGTCGCGATATATATAAAGACCGGGACGGACTGATCGATACTGCTTGTTAGTTCTGCCGCTACATCAGTAGGTACATATTTACTTGTGTATGACTTCGTGCTTGATGCATCCTTCGTATCACGATACGGTATTGCCGCTACTATACGCCTAAATTACCATGTACATGTTTAAGCCCCGTCGGATAGCATTGCGCGATATTGGAAATTACATTGACGCCGATTCATGTTGATAGAATATAAACCTAAGTTCTATCACCTTCGATAGAATGTATTACACGAATGCGTTACGTTTTCGTGGAATACGATTGCGACACGCTCGCTCGGGAGAGGAGCTCGGGCTGCACGGATGCCGAACGCGAGAGAGACGAGAATTAGATATATATCTTCAGAGCCTTTCCGACGTCTGCTCTCTAAACATTATATAATGTATAATGTTCGAAAAAGCATTATACATTATTTATAATGCTTTTTAAAGCTCCTTAAATTTCGATGAGATAATTAGCGCACACGAAGGCTTAAGGTGATTTTATCGTGCAAGTCCCAGTCAAAAGTTAGTCCCTCCATATGACTAATAATTCAATAAAAAACATTTCGCATAGACTGTACATATATGATTGTGTGACGTTTATGTGACAATTACGTCACACTATCGAGTTGGCGTTGAGCGATAAAACCACCTTAACGTAATAACTCGATAAAGAGGAAAATTTGTTTGATCACGAATACCTTGGCAACGGTAATAGCGTAGAAATTACATGTTCATCGAGCTTTGGAAGTAAAGCTATCGGCGTGGCGCGAGGATTTTTGCCGAATAATTTATCATCGTTGCGCCGATTTCTCAGATCGCGGCGGGGAGATTAGGCGTGGAGCGCTTTCGTCGTTAGAGTGGCCCGGCGTGGTTACGACGAAAAAAATTATCGTTTAACTAGGTGAAATGTGTGCGGACGCCCGCCGAGAGAGACGGGACTGGGCTTAGGGACGATGGCAGAAGTGGAGAGCGCGGACCTACGACGACGAAAGATGGATGGCGGTAGAAAAAAGCAACTAAGCAGCGCGCGTCTGCCGTTGAAAAGCTGAGAATCTTGATTCGACTGTGCAGAGCGCGCGAATGCTCGTAAAAAGCTCCGCGGAACGCCCGGAAATCCTTTGGTCGCGCCATTAACGGTGATTTCTCCCTAAGCCCCGCCGATCCTCTTCCCTCGTATTCTCTCGTCGATGTCAACTCCATTTCGACTCATCAAGCCGTCATTCATCGATCACTCGAGACGCGCGCGGGCTCTCCTAGCCGACGTTGCGCGTTCGAAGTCCACATTTACGTCGCGTTCGTTCGCATTTAGCAGTAAATTCGATCGTCCTGTAATGTACTCTAATTTCGATCGGATCATCGTCAATAAACGAGGCAACCGCTTTATCTTTACCGAAGAACTTTATTTCAATCGTACACGAAAAGAACGATTTTATTTAAAAATTGTGTTGAATACAGATCTAAAAATAATTCTTGCTGGATCATCAAAATAATTTTGTTGAAGAGTCAAATTGAGTGCTATAATATCAAAACGCTTTATAGCAATGCTTATCATTTTTGAGTTTCTAACAAAATTATTTTCAGATCCAATTTTTTAAATCTTCCAGCAAAATTGTTCTTTCCATGTAAGTATCTCGCATTTTAATAGCGATATTCTTTGTATACATATAATCTACATTTCTTAGATATACCTTTTTTTTATAAATGATTATGCGACGTGTATAAGGAGATCGTGATGCGCAGGAGAACGGACGAAGATTATTTCTGATTGTTGGGGAAAAGCCTAGTAGCGTCAATCGAAGCGGAACCACCGTTGTCTGCTGCTGCTTAGTGAATTTTCACGACACTGCCGCTACCGTAACCGTTCGCGACGACGGTCTGCGCGCCGTGGAGAGATCCCGATCTGATCCCCAGGCCCACGCCAACACCCACCAGTCCCGAATTCGCGGCGACGACGTTCGTCGCGGCCAGCGCGGATCCGTAGACGAACGGCTGCCTCAGCGGGGGTGCACCCACGACGATCGCCTGCATAATAAATGTGCGCGCGTGCACTTTCAGCAATGTGAAGCATTTTGCGGCGACTCTCTTTTCTCTTTAATTCTCTCTTTCTCTCTCACGCTCGATTTACAGGATCTCCCGTCGGTATCGCATTTTCTTTGACAAGTCTCGATGAGAAAGAGAGCCACCAAAATCCTCAAATCGAACAAAGAATCCCATGATCTCTCTCTCTCTCTCTCTCCTTCTATCTCGAGGAGACTAATGGACCGAGGGAAAAAGCGCTCAGAAAGTAACTGGATTACGAACCTGCGGGCGGACTGCAACTGCTGCTGGCGCAGGTGCAGCGATCACGGACGGCGCGGGCGGCGCTACGACGGCGACGGCGACGGGGCGCACCGTCGCTGCAGCTGCGTCGGCGGCGGCGGTTTTAACCGTGATGCGGCCGGGGTCTCGCTGCACGACCGCGTTAAAACCGTTGATAGGATCGGTCGCGTAGGAGACGAGGCGCCGGAAACCGTCGGGCTCGATTAAGCTGTAACTTCCGTGAACTACGTCGCCGCCGTTGCGAGTTTCTTCCTGCAGCGCCCTGTTGTCGCCTTGAAAAGTATAAGAGTATGCGTTTATATAATACCTCTCCGAAGCGAAGTTCTCCTTCGTGCGCGACACGCTCCACGGAAAGACGCGCATTGTCCCGACCGGTGTTTTAATTTAAGTTCTCGGCGAAGTTCTTGAATTCTAATTCGATGGAGGCAGCCTGATGAACAGATACAACAAATAGCTGAATTAAGAGATATCGACAGGAATCCACTCTGCAAATTTGGAACGTTCGGAAACGTCGTTTTGGCTTAACTTCCTCTTAATTACGAAGTCCGTCTTAAATACAGACACTTTCTTATCGAAGTAAAATTTGATTATACGCTCCTATATTGCTTGCAATTTTTAATTTCAGCAATTTTTATTCAATGTGACAATTACCAATTTTTCATCATTTTTCAATAAGTATTTATAAATGTCAACATTTCCAATCATGTTCTACTTTAGAGAAGCAGGCTGACAATTACAGATGGCATCAATTACAGTTATTGCGATAAATATTACCACAGTCTCAGTAGTCGAATAATAAGACACGCCCCGGATCGGGAGGTTTAAATCTTGGTTGAGGTAAAATTTTTTGAAATAAGAGTTCTTTACAGTATTTTAGGATGTTTGCAGCGTCATTATCGAAATTAAGATCAATTTAATATGTGATATTTTTCAGCTTTGAGTTATGATTGCGTTCTTAAAGACCGACAGCGCGCAGTTTACGGTAGCTGAAATTTAAAGATTTAAATTTTAAAATATTATTGAGCAACCTATATCTCAGCCGAATTCGGCTGCTCCCCTTTATTATTTGTTGCATACCTACGGTATCGGTCTTGCTTGAAATTATTTCATTATTCTTAGATTAAGATATACCATACTTTGTTTCTACTTTCCTTCAAATGTGTATACCGTTAGCCAAAAAAAAGTATGATTACTTATATATGATGTGTAAATGTACACTGTATTGAATTGGAATCCGCGGATTTGCTAAGCCCAAATGACTGTGCGAATCAGTAATCCCTGCGGGAATCCCTACGAATTATATTGCAGAGACGCACCAGTGAGACCATCTGCCACGCTATACCCGAAGCTGTACCGAGGTGAGTCGTAGTTTTCGGCTCTGATAACCGCTGCAGCTGGCTGTTGCGCGACGGCTACTGCAGTTGCACCCGGGCCAACGATCCCGGCGCGGACGACAGCCAATAAGGCGACAAAATAGCCGGTAATCTGTGTGCATTGGAAAGAAAATATTAAATATCATTGATTTGATAATTAAAAATGACTTCGAAGACATTAATTAATTTAATAGATGATTAATTCAACCGGCATGCAGAATTGTTCAGAGCAAAATTTCTAATGTAATTCGTCATTTTTAATCTTCAATCTCTTTTTCATATGTCAAATGACAAAAAATCAATTCTATCATTAATAGAATGGAATTAAATATCAATTTATTAATAAGTTAATTTTATTTTTTTTCGATCAAAGTCTCGATCTTACAGCTAAAGAAATATTCAACTAATTTCGCTGATTTAGGCATTACAAAAAAATGCATAATGTAAAATCACATGATTTCATTTCTTATAATAATAAAAGCCTGCCTTAGGAGTTCAAAAACTAATTTTGCAAAAGATAAAAATCGCAAAGATTAATAAGCTCTTATTATTAGCTTTTTATTAGCTTTTTATTAGCTTTTTGACTTGTCAAAGCTTCAAATTATTATTATTATAGTTTATGAAAAAAAAAAATCGACGCGAAAAATATAAGTGCAGTCTCAAGCAAATAATAAACGAGGCGACGATAACTAACAGGATATATAAAAGTATTACTTTGTAACACATGATCACTGCTGCTGGTATCTCGATACTCGTTAAACTGCATATGCTTTGCCGGCTTCGGTAGATTTTATACTGAACGAGTTCGCGCCGATGCTCCCCGCCCTGCGGATACTGCATCACTGCATCCAATACACTCCACTCTCATCGGGATCACTACGTGCATTACTGTGGGGATTATAGATACAGCGTAACGTGCATCGTATGCCAACGTGGACTGCGATCTATGCGATATTACATACCGATGAAAATTCCAAAGGCGTCATGTGAACTGAAGAGTACAAATATCTGATAAAAAAGAAAGCTTTCTATTAAATTTAAAATTCTGCCCAGAGAACTAATATTTCCCCGGTAAAATTAAAATCGCATATGTGAAATCTCTGTCAGACGGGGTTGAATTTTTGTGTTATATTTGTCTTTGATATATCCAATGTGTCGATATCATTTTTACACGTTTTTCTATAGAAATAATTAATTTTCCTGCAATAATAACGAGAAATAACGTGAAGTAGCAGAAAGGAAAGGAAACAGTTCAAAATTCATATGTATCTTAAACTGATAAGAAGATAATTTGCATTCTAATTTTCAAAACTTTAACTTTTTAATTTTTTTGTATCGAATAAATAATTACAATTATTATTTGTTAAAATTCAACATTTTTTAAATATCATTCTTGACATTCAAAATTAAAATTTTAATTTTGCAAAAAAAACAATTAATTACGATTATTACGCGAATACTGAATTAATTCTTGCATTCACTTTCTATAAAAAGATATTGTGATTCTTTATAAATTAAACTAAAGAATTATATATATCTGATAATAAACATATTTTAATATAACGCGAGGATTTTGACAGCTAATTGACTTGCAACTATATTCTTTAATTTGATCCACTCAAGGTGATCCAGCGCTTAGAAGGATAATCATATCAGTCTGTAATGCCGCTGTAAAGTAATATGAAATTTTCTTCGACATTTAGTAACAAAATCTCGTCTTTTAATGTCGAGGGTCGTTGAGATCGGGATAAGCGGACTTCTGATTAAATACTAGTATGCTTCATATAGGTCAAGTAAGTCCAGTAGTAATTCGAGGATCCACTCGAGGAATCATATGCTGAGACCGGTAACTCTATCTACGTTAATCCACAATGCGTGTATGTAGCCATACATTGGGATATTGAGTGTCTCAATTGTAGATCCATAGTATAAGAAATATCTGGATTGCGGCTGCATCTTACGCAAGATAGGAAGGAGGAAATGCCAAGTACACCATACTGTTAAAAAAAATGCACTAGCAGCACCGTGGAACAAAATGATTTTGAATTATAAAAAGGTAATAGATTATAAGCAAAACATCCGAAAAAACATAAGCATTAATATCTCAAGAATTCCTAAAGTCTTATCTCTGGGTATCCTGATCGAGAGGTCGATAAAAGAAAAATTAAACTTTAAAATTGGCGAAGTATCAGGATAATTAGCAAAGAGGCGCGACACCGAGATTCCAAGAATTCCTAAAACTTTAAATCTAAGGATTCGCGCTAGCCGTGGAAATTTAAATTCTTCAAAATCGATGAAGCGTCGGGAGAACATAGGTAGTCGGGCAGGAGCAATTCTAAGCGTTGCACAATTTTAAAAACTCCAAATTTATTTGTTATAAATTTCTTTCGCTGTGTCTACACTCCATAGCAGTTCGTGCTCTCATGTAAGACCATCAGGATCTCTCAAAAAATATTTTGCGTTTATATATCCATTATATCAAGTTTCGCACGTTTCTCGTATCAACAATATGACGTACTTAGTTATTTTTTTTACGTTTCTTTTTCTTCTACACGGTCTACAGATTAGAATCGGCCTAATTATTTTCTACCTTCGCTCGATCATCGATGCGAAGGCGAGTCTATCATATAATTTAAAGGGACTTTGTGTGCCGGATATATAGAGTGCAATGTTCACACCGGAGCTGTGCGTCCGAAGAAAAATGACCAGATATCGAAGCTATAACGGTAGCGGAAATCACTAAGCGATCACTTTTTTTTTTAAGCGATAGTATGTTACACTTTTACAGGCTCAAAATAGAATATCTACAGGTAGATAATACACTCCATTTTTTGTGTACTATCGAAAAGTTCCAATGTCTGGCGTCTATAACGTGCAATATAATTATTACAGTAAAATGTATTTGCCGGTATAGCTCTATATGCCATATGTTACCTCCTACGAAAAACGTCGAATACATAACGACAGTGATTAGATCGGAGAAGGAAGGGTATATGAGAGAACACGACACAGAGTTGCATGGTAGTGAAACACATTCTGCTACTTTACACAGTCCGTTCGACGGTAATTCTCTCCCGCACATATCGCGCCTACCACACCGATATCCGTATATATTCAGTGCGAAAACATTTATTCCGATTATAACGGTCAATACAACAGGCGCATTTTAAGTGTAGACCCAGAGCGTAAAAAAAAAACTGCACAAAATTCATTTAGACCTGCACGCGGATGGTACCTTCGTAAATCACACGTCTACACGCGCGCGCGCGAGCGATGTCGGCACGAGAGATAATTGGCAAGCCTAGTCAGCGCGGCGTGCACAAAGCGTCGCCTCTTCGGATTCTCCCGAACTGTATCTGCTTGATGTACTATACAATGCGGTTGTCAGTTAACACTGGAGGATCGGAGTCGGCGCCTCCTTCCCTCGCTCCTCGTTTCAGGAAAATCCTATCCGTGTTTTCGCAAGATGTATCGCTATGTATCTAAATAGCTCTATGCTTAATTTAGGCATCGACGAGGACGCAAGCAACAGCAGGACCCGTGTGTCCTGACACACCACGAATTCGATTAGGAGGTACGAAAAAAAAAATCATATGCGCGTGCCAATATAGTATATCGTATATACATTTTTCTTTACACATTTGCATGATGCGCAACGGTCGCCTGGAAATGAAAAATAGAAATGAAACAGGACGAGAATATGTTGTTCTCATATGTGTGCGTGTGTCTGTTATATTTTTCTTTTGTCTGTATCATCATCATTATTATTATTAATATTAGCATCATACAGCACTTCTCGTTTAAGTGAAAAAGAAACAAAAATTATACGTTGAGAAGTTGTTAATAAGATTAATCGCATTACGTAATATTTATAAGAGGCAGCGAGTCATATTCTCCGTTACATTAATCGCATCTAAAAGTATATATGTAAAAAAAATGGAAATGTCTTTTTTTCAGAGTTTCTCTTTTCTACCCGTCACCTAACAGGCCACACTTCGCGCAATGGAATATATTTTACTTAACTATTCACACGTATAATTTTCTCTTTTTTTATTATTATTATTATTATTATTTTAACGCTGTTAGGTAATGTTCCCCCGAACTCTTAAATCTCTCATTAGTCAATTATAATTAATAATTATATAACATTTTATATAATTATGTAATTATAATTATAATAATTATTTACTTATTAATTGATCATTAATCGATAAATCGATTATTCGCAAACACGTAACAAAAGCATATCGCACGTTAATCTTAGAGCGGGCGCGTGGGTGATCTCAGCCTTTTCACATTTAACTTCATGATCGGTAAAACGACCATGTATATTGACGCACGAAACATATATTTAAAGATAGGAATTTCATAGACATTATTTCGTGAAAATAATATCTATGAAAAAATTGCACTTTTTAAATGCGACCGCTCGAAGATTAAACTTGTGCACAATCCTAAACTACGTTTGATTACTGTCTTCACAAAGCAACGAGATATTCCGTTTCGCAACAACACAAATACATAAAAATACTTTTAAAAGTAATATCAAGCAGATTTGTAAAGATTATAATCGATCAATGTTCACCAAATCTATGTTTATTTAATTGATGCATGGTAGAAAAAAGAATTTTAAAAAAATTTACATTTAATCCGATTTTTACAGGTATGTATGTATAACTAATCAAAAATACGTACGGGTGCAATTTGCGAAACGGATAACAAAAATGAATGTCGATCTTCACAATCTGTATATTATAATCTAAAATCGCATACAAGATTTCTCTTTTTTCATAACAAATGCGAATTAGACGTTAATTACGTCGTACGACGAATACAATAAGTCAAGCAAAAATATTAAATAAATTAAGGTCTTCGCGTATACAATTTGCTCAAAATATATAGCTCAAAAATGTTCATCGGAAAAACGCTCGATGAAAATTTTCGAGCGGTGTACAAAGCACGCAAAAAGATCATGCGTGTGAAGTGAGCAAACTATACCATATATTAAATTATATAAAAGTAGTAATTACACAGGCATCTATAGTTATATATATCAAACATAAGCGTAATTATAATACATATAACGCTGATTTCTTTTTGTTAACGCTAAAAACCTTTTTTTAGTAGTATTGTCCTTATCGAGAGAGTCGGCGAGGATACTTCTGTTATATCTCACCTAAATATTTTCAATTACACAGCATTACCCTGCACTTTCGGTAATACCAAAGATTATGGTATTTATAACAATAATTTACTTCACTGTTATGTGTTGTTACAAACTAGATAGATGCTTCAAGCACTTTCTAACGCGGGCACGAAATAAATAAATTTCCCCAAACTGTAAATCCCTTATCCCTAAGCGAGTATGAAATACTCATTGGTATTCGTAATTTTAATGGCATTCGGTACTTGGCGAAATTCGAAATGATAAAACCTTCGTACAACTTTTCAAGACTTCATCATTTGCCTTCTACGAAAATTTTGAACCAGTCAATTTTTTAGTATTCGCGTATTTCGCGCGATCCTCTCTTTCTCTCGCGCAATACGCGACAATAATCCACACTCTCATATGTTCCCTGCAATGCGGTTTCATTCTTAAATTTGCGGCGGGGATGTTTTATATTTATTCTTGTTCGGGCGTATAAATACGTTGATTTTACAAGCCTATCCATTAATAAGCTATTACAATCGGAACGGCGCGCGCTGATCGATCGGCGTGGGCTTTCCCTTCCGCGCGTTCGGGGTCGTTCCCGACATCGACGTGTCGGATGCTCCGGAGGGCTTCCTCGATAACTTCGAAGACGGCGGTAGCGGCGTGCTGGATCCACTGGACGGCGTACGTACCCTGAAAACAAGCCGGTCGTATAAACGTAAGCGAGTGCTAACCGAGCACTATTTTTCAACGCCAATAAAGAAGCTCACAAATGCAAACCGACATTGGTACTTTTTTCTTTAGGCATTACTTTCAGCGAACGAATGAAGGAGAGAAGTGAAAATTTCTGAATTAATATTAATGCTTTACCTAGCTTGCTTAATGGCTGTTGGTATATTAGTTGCTGAATTCGTACACAGGGAACTGCTCCTAGCGTTGTGAAAAAAAACGTTAGTCGAGGGGCTTACACGCACACACACACACATAAGAACTGTTATAATCAAAACTTATAACGGATATAAAAGCTAGCATCAACTACTAATGATAATTTATGAATACTTTGGCATTGTCGACAAGATGAATAAAACGAAAAGTTGCTGATATTATTAGATGAAGAAAAGAAGCAGTTTTGTCGCAAACAAAACAAAGCCACATGCGATATACAATTTCAAGATGAGATTTTAATGAGAGATAGACATGTATAACAAACATGAGATGAAAAAATAATAGTGCCACTAATTGCGAGAAGTTCTACAATGCTTGGAAAAAAAATAAAGTAAAACGTTTCAACGAGGGTGAGAAGAAACGGAAAACGGGTTACATTGTGAAAGCGCCAAGTTCAGCCATACCCAGTGGAATCAGTAGAGATCGTAGAATGGTTGCTTTGTGTTGAATGAGTCGACATATTGCTGGTGGTCGACTGAGGAGATTTTATATCCACCCCCACATACACGGGTATCCTAGAGCGGCTGAGGCATTAACCATCGAAATGTTATTTTTAATTTGCACGGCACGGTATATCGTATAAGTGTAAGGCAGCGAAATCTATTTTCGCGTTGAGAATTAGATAAACGAGGACGGAAACGAGAACGAAGAGGAAGAAAAAAAAACGAGAAAAATATAATAACGAGGATCGAAATAAAACAACGATGAAAAAAATAAGCATAAATGTATCGCCGTCACCACGACTAAAAAACCTCTTCCAAAAAGCGATGTCGCACACCACAACACTTCGCAGCTTTCTACTTTGCGTTTTGCTTCTTTTGTTGCACATTGTTCATTTCTAACGTATAGAGCCTCGTGATGCACAGCGACGCATAACGCAAACCGAAAGCTGCAGAGTCGCTAACCCCGAACCAATTTTACATGAAATCACCGAATTCGTTAATTTGCTTTACCTGATAGGTGTTCCGACACCAGTCAGGGTTGGAATGCTCGAAGCTCTATGGATTGAGCCAAACCTAAAAAAACGTTGTTAACCAGATCTGTTAATTGATTATTAAAACGCTATGCCCGTTCAATTAGTCGTGTCAATATTTTGCGGTTAACACGAAGTGCGATAAGAGGTTCGATCAATTAATTGCGCTGTCGAGTACACATCTTTGTTTCTTCGAACACTTAAATTTTATGTAGTATTCTATGTGGTACGTGTCGTATGTACAGTCGTGGACAGATCGATTGCAACACTATTTTTTAGGTTTCTAATATACAGGGTGTCTCATAATAGGTGTATCACCGTTCATGGGTAGATAGAACAGACTAAACTAAACAGAAAAGTCCTCTATCATTTTGCAAAATTCGTAATCGTTAACAAGATATTAATTTTTAAAGATGGGCAAATAAACTTAATATCTCGTTAATAAATGTGAATTTTACAAAATAGTAAAGGACTTTTTTGTTCAGTTTAATCTACTTATCTTGCCACTTGCATTCAGCGGTGGGCCGGATGAATACGCGTTTATTCGTCAATCTTCAAAAATTAATATCTGGTTTACGATTGCGAATTTTGCAAAATGGTAGAGGACTTTTCGATTCAGTTTAGTCCGTTCTACCTACCCATGAACGGTGATACACCTATTATGAGACACCCTGTATATTTAATATACAGAATATATATTTTATAGGTAACTAATATTTTGCAAATGCGAATCACAATGTACTATCTCTAGAGACAGTATAATACCAATCGTGGTTCACATTTGCAAAATATTAGTGCGTTTTGAAACCTATAAAAAAAAAAGTGTCGCAACCGATCTGTCCAGTGTCCACGACTGTATGTAGTGGAATCGTAATGTAAAAAGAAAAGAAAAAACAAAACAAAAAAAGAGAAACTAATAGAAAACTAAAAAAAAAACATTCCTTTCGGGATAAACAACATATCAAACATTTCCCGAATCATCGCAGTCAGTTGACGTTAAGTGAGATATCATCGTTAATCTGCACACAATTGTGGCTACACATATTCTCCATTTAAGGCACACTAATGCGAGTTAGTTCACGTTATTTATTTGAGAGATAATTCGGCGTAAGGTGACGCGCGCGGTTGAGAGCTTACGAACCTGGAAGGTACTCCGCTGGCGGGGCTAATTAATCCCGTTGGAGTGCGGGGTCGTGAGCTCGAGCCGTTCATCGGGGTTGTGAGTTTCCTACCGGATATGCTGTTGTGTCTACTGGACGTCGGAGTACTGCCGGAGCCGACGATGGTCCTTCGCGGGATGCGACTTGGGGTCGAATCGTCTGCGGGATCAAATATCAAGTGTAATCTTTCAGATTAGTCCAAAGTATGCGAGAAAGTATAAAATAAAAGTCTATACGCATACCGTCCAACGACTGCGTTGATCCGTATCGACTAGGCGGTTTGCTTCCTTGTCTCGACGCAGGTCGGCTACTCGGTCTACTGGCTGGTCGGGAGGCAGGTCTTGATGCTGGCCTGCTAGACGGACGGCTACCACCTGCAAAGCGTACGATTAAATGCAGGTTGTCCTACTGCTTACTTCAGCAAGCAACAGTGTTTCTGGGTTTAAATTCAGAATCTCACCGGGCGTCACGGTAGATCTGTAAGGCGTGCTGGTTTTTCTACCAGATATCTTGAAGGAACTTTCGTTGTCGCTAAGGCTGTCGGGCGTGCCGGCGCTCAAGGATGAGCGCGAGGCTCGCGATTGACCCATGGGTACGCTGCGAGCACTGCGTTCTCTCACCTGGACGGGAAAAGGGGCAAATTGTCGGATAAAGTTTACACGTAAACGCGTGCAAAAGAGCAGAAGAAGCTGTCATACATCTAATTCACGTCCAATACAAGTATTGGACGAGTAACGGTTTTCGTGTTACGCGTTCTCTGCCGCCTAATTAACGACTCGTTAGTAACTAATGTTAGCTGTGTGCAAGTTACGTCGCGCGCAATAAAATATCCTTCAAGTATTTCTTGAAAAGCTACAGCTGAAGAATAAAAACTATATCCGTTGCTTATAACGCAATAGTTTTTCGTTATTTATTAATAAAAATAAAATCAAGCATTATTAGATGAAATTAAGATTTTATAATAACAGAAAATATACATGTGCTCTTCCTCTAATATTCTACTATAGAAAAAAAGAGAAGACGTAAAAGAAAAATATAATAGGAGACATAAACAATTCTAGTTTTTTTTTTATTATTACTTCAATTACAATGACTCAATTCAAAATATGTAAGTAAACGCGCAGCAGACAAAGCCTTTTTCTCTAGAAATTTAGATCGTTAAATTACTGTAGATCAGTAATCTATCTATCGTGTTGTTATCGCCAAAAGTTTAACAAGCAACACAAACTTGTGCACAGCTACGGACTAGTGAAGATATACCGGTCTGCGGTCCATATCGTTCGTCGAAGCTGTTGAAATATCAAGATTAAATAATATACAGAATTGTAAAATAAAAACAGTTACCCGGATTCGGGTAAGTAAAGGTAAAGCGAAGTGTCATGCAAAACTTACCACAAGAAGTTGGGAGAGATATAGTAGCTTATGGTGATTCGAGGTATCTCCGATCAGTGCCACTACGCACGCAGCAATACAGGATACGACACATTCGTTATGCATGTCCGTGTTCAATTAAACTGACTACAATCCCCGATTCGCGTTTTCCGTTTCGCCGTATAACGAATAAACGCGTGTCTATTGCCGCGTGACTATTTGCAAAAAAATTCAATTTCTCTCTCGAAGAAATTTTATGCTCTTCATCGACGATCGTGATTAATCTATCTTTTGAATACGACACTGAAAGGTGCACGTGAGAATTGAGAAATTTAATTCTCGGCAGTTTGTTGTGTTTCGATATTTGTGTTACGTTAAAAAGATAATGAGAGATGAAAATCGTAAAGAGAAATCTCGATCATGCTCGAAGTCGGATAGTCAATCGTTCTCCAGGGGTAAGGGTCAGGAAAAGAGTTAAGAGGCGTATCCAAATAATTCTGACAAAATCGAGACACATTCGACGAATCAACCAAACAAAAAAAAAAGAGAATCAACTCGATGCAGAGTTAATGCGTTCGAATGAGTGCGACGGGGTGTTGCATTTCGCGATGTAACGTGCTGTGAATCTATCTCGCACAACGCCAGACCAAAATGGGATCTACAGTCGAGGCACGTAAGAGCTCATCATACGTTTCTCGCGGAAAAATGGGCAGGCGGTGAGGCAGAGAGACAAAGCGACGCAAGATACATGATAATGAACCGGGGAACTAGAATTTCTTTTTCTTAAAACCTCCGCCCCTATCCATTCTCCTTCGTATTACTTGCTCTCCTTTATATACGACAAACACACACACACACATTTTTCTGACATGCATTCATCAACTTCATTACTGTCGGAAGCATTCGTGACACAAAATTCATGAATAATCGTTTACGATTATCGTTGATTATTCATAATTATTGTTCACTTCCGGCATCTCATCGGAGAGAATCTCCATAATATACAAAATATATAGAAAAGTAGCACAGAGGAAGAAAAGCAAATGACAGTCCACTGGAAAAAAAAAAATGCACAATGCACCGAGTCAATCGACTTTCGAGTCGCGTGGTGTGTCGCGGCCGCACTCAAAAAACCCAAACTCAAGTGTGTGTACAGCATCACACGAACGGCAAGAAATACAAAGTTGAGAAAAATGTCGTTATTTACCCAATGATAAGAGGGGGCGTGCATGTGAAGGGGATACGAGCACGGGAGGTCCTCCTTTTGCCTCAAATTCTCAAATATCGGCATCAGCTGGCTCATAAACTCCTCCGCTACACCACAAACGAAAATCTTTAGCTTCCTCATGCAATCGCAGTGGCGCCCCTCCTCCCCCTTCTTTTCGGGAGAGGCTCACACGCCAATGAAAAATATTCCTGAAACGTACAGCTATCTCCGCGCTAAACTGGACATATGATTTTCAAACGTGTCTTTTCCTCTAAATGTAAAAACTGACTCAGGTCGCACCATAATTTTTCAATTTAATATCTAATGTCACAGGATTTCTCAGGAATGAGTGATTGTATGGAGTTGGGAAGTCCATTTCTTCTCTCGCGGCTGCGAAGCGACGAGGTGGGGAATTGCGAGGATTTGCGGAGAAGATAGGCAGAAAATTTACGAAATCGCATCTCCTGAGGTCGAACGAAGAGTTTGAGACGAAGACACGACAGGTCTGTCTGGCTTTCAGTAGTTTGGTATAATCACTTTTTTTTTTCAATATAACAAAACCGACGAGTGATGAGAGTAGACAAGCGTCATCTATTTCTAGTTTGCCTCTACATGTTCAAACAATGCAACTGACTGGAAACTGCCATGCTCATGCGAACGTCAAACGGCTTGGCTGACGGCCAGGATGTCGTAAAGTAGTCGTATACTTACGGATATCGTCGAACGAGATCGCAAATCGATCGTTGATAGAGTTGTCGTCCAGGTAAGAATCGTACGTGCAATTTTATTTTCTGTCTACTGCGATGCCACAACGCGGCACCCAAGATCTAATATGTATTTATATCTCACGAGTTTATTCTACGAGTATTCTTCTATTTCAATTTACAAATTAACGGCAGAGAAGTAGAAGAGGGCACGGCGAAAATGAATTACCGTAACGTGCTACGTCGCATTTCGGGGGGATTCCGGCGATTGGAGCCCCGCTTACCTTGGTGATCGGTCCGGCATTGGTGGAGGACATTTGCGTACGCTGCAGCGTCGAGGTCGGGCTCGGCTTGGACCGGAAGGCCGTCATAGTCTGGCTAACACCGTCCGCCAGTATAAATTGCTCCCGCAGCTCGATATTCGTTCTTCCCTTGGCTACAGTGTGTTGCGTGCACGCAGTTAGGGAGAAGGCGTTTCGGGGATGTCGGGTACGAGAGGGGAGGTGCCAGAGAGAGAGATGTAATTTTGTACAAGAAAACAGCCCCGGAGATAGTGAGCGGATGACGTCGAGATGAGATAACGAACGCGAGAATGGTGTTAGTTTAACAAGAAAAAAAAAAGAGAAAAAAAATGAAAGCGAAAACGAATGTGTGAATATCGGACCGGCAACATCCGGAACGAGAGTCGTGAGTTATATGGAGCGGAAGGTGTAACGATATATATATATATATTTTTACAGGTTTACAATATCAAGGCATGCGCGTTATTAAATGAGCAGCGACAATAATGGAACGGGGGAAGTAGTTTTGAGAAAGAGAGAAGAGAAAAAAAAAAGGCGACAAAAATGTTTCACGGTTTGCGTGCGCGTGTTTCCGAGTACATGTATGCATGAGTGCGTGTGTGGCGTATCCAGGTATGCGTTTTTGTGTGTCATGGAAAAAAAAGAAAAAAGACAGCGTATTTAGAATATATGGTCGAAAAAAAATTTTGACATCGTAAAATTGAGTATTTCACAGGTACAAGCTTATCAAAACAGTCACTCAAACCAAATTTTATCATGGTCATTACATAAATAAGGTTTACGATACAGGGAACCACTATATATTTTGCCACTGATTCAATTTGTACAATATTGACCTCAGTGCTTAGGATATTAGTATAAAATGTACGATTCGCGAAAATACTTACACTTTCTCTTTTACTTAACTTTTATAATTAAAATATAACCGTAAAAATATGATGATTTAAGTCGCTTGTTATCGTACATTTCACAATATACCTAAGCAATTAATCAATACAATATATAGAGCATTCCAGAATGTCTTCTCACTTAATAATTAGAATAAAAAAAAAAAACATTGGGTCTTTGTTAAAAATTTATTCCAAGCTCACTGTCATTTATTAATAACTATATATATATATTTTTTTTTCTTTTTTATTCTTTAATTTTTTTATATCCTTTTCTTTTTAAATCTATATTTTTATTTCAATTTTAATCTTTAGTCGGAGAAAAATACGACATTCCTAGAACTCTCTGCATATAAAAAAATTTGTTGGGGATTATACGCGTAACCATGCTAAAAGAAACCAATGTTACTTTAACTTTAATGTAACATTTCAATCAGAAAACTAAACTAAACGAAAAGGAAAGGAGAGAATGAGAAATTTTTACATATTTGTACATACAAAACTCATCTCCCAGTAGGATAACTGTCGAAACAATACCAAAATTCACTAAACATGCATTGGTTATCTCCTAGCAAGGATATCAAAGTTTCTACAGAAAAGGGGAGCTACGAAAGATACATCGAAATTAACCATTGCAAATCAAATGATAAAATAATCACATTGAACAGTACTACAAAGGTAAAACATTTATATGAAAAATAATCATCAATTAAGGGATAGACTGACTAAACCATTCACCGAAACTGAAAAAAGAAAACTAAAGAAATACAAAATGAGGAGGAGGAGGAGGGGGGAAAGCGAAACGACTGCAGTATATTAGTGATGTAGTTCGTAATCCTGCATCACTATAAATACAGGCACTCTTTTTTTTTCTTTTTGTTTCAACACTGGAACTCGAAACTGCGTCGAGGTGTGAAACTGTTAGTATTACACAGCAACTGTAGCGTTAATTTCACTTGCGCAATCTATTTACCTTATCCAGACAGTAATTGCCAATATTCAATCGTTCCATATAATACAACCGTATACGCACGTATATATAGACATACTCAACAAAAAGGCAAACACTTCGAAAAATTAGTTCGAACAAGTTAATATAAGGTCATGCACCCTACGCAGGGATATCACCTTTCATGGTCTATACTGGGAGCAGTTACTGACAGAGTTACTGGCGATCGTCTCTCCGGCATGTCATAAATATTCAGTGCAATTAAAATTTCGAATAAGACATTTTTAACAATTGAACGAGCGAGTTTCGTTCGACGTATAGACCATGAACGAATTGTGTGCACGTAAAACAGTTCTCACCGAGCGGACACCAACCCTCATGTTGTTCCGGTTTGTTAGGATCCGGTATTGGCATTAGAAAAACTTAACGAGTTAATCACGATTCGACAGACAGAGTCGATTGGACAGAGCGAGTTGCATTAACATTCATGCATGCGCCGCGATTTAGAAATTTATATATAATTTTTTTGTTTCGGACGACGGAAACGCATTCGATAAACGAAACGTAAAACACAAACGTAAAAGACATACATGAAAATGAAACAAAAAACAGAAATGTTTGTCGTAGAGTTAGACGTACGGGATGTAAGGAGGATCGATGGACAAGTAAGGAACAGTTGTTATGTTAACGTTAGTACATAGTTACCAAGATGTTAGATATGCCTACTGTAATATTACCTTCTACCTTACTACTTATGAAAATTCGTATCGTACCAGAAAAGATTCTCTGACATAGAATTAATGATTGTCTCAATATTAATATTCCGAAATTGATGAATTTACCATTGGAAAAGGCGGAAAGAGAATAAAAATATAGAGAAAGTTAGAGAAAAAACGACGATGGACATTTTTCACGCAATTCAATAATTAAATTAAATTAATTGTCATGCATAAATTATATAATAAAATGTAACATAAAGAAATAATAACGAATACCGGATCGATTCCTTTTACTTATCAGTTGAAAGTCAACAAAGTAAATCAATATACATATACCGGAAAAAGTTTCTAGATAAGCAAAAGCAATAAACAGCGAGTGTGTACGCTACTCTCAATTATTCTTTAAATGTTAAGTTAACAGTGAGTCGCACTCAATGTCCGATTAATGGCAATGTTATGACACCTCAGGAGTCGAAATCGTACTTATATATAATATACATGTATAATCTTAATGCATCTTCAGTTAGTTTTACTACGGATACGAATAGTTATATTAAATCGACGTTCAGGTATACTTTTTCGTTAATGATAATGAATTTCTCTCAAGTGGTACTACGTTTCTACATTTAATGCAGCGAAGCAAAGTAATGTTGATTAATATGAAGAGCGATGGAAAACAAAAACAAAACGTTAACACATTTGTTACAATAACAAATACTCAAGAGTATCATTTTCGATTATTAGAAATGTCGAAATTAAACGGGAACGCAAGTTTAATTGCCTCTTGGGAAGAAGGATAGAGAGAAGGAGACAATACCATAGAAAATTTTCTTTTGAAAGTTATTTCAGTTGCTTGCTATCAAGTAGTTCATCTTGCAAACATGTTTCGCATTAACCCAACAGTTCACCCAATTCACAAGTCATTTTGACTAATTACTTTCTTTCTCCTTTCTAATATAGTAAAAAAAATTCGTCGATAGAGTATACGATTTATCTCAGCCTAATCTCGAATCGTCTGCATATATCGCGCAGATTAAAGAATACTCGTGAATACTTACCGCGGCAGGGATCGTTCTTCAGAAGGAATTCGTCTAATGCTACCCAGCCTCCACCGACGCGTACCATGACAGTGGAGCGCAGGATTCGAACCAATCGCAATTTTTGGCTGTCACCAAACTGCAATTTCACAATCGTCACGATTAAAGTCGTACATGAGAGATATTGATATGTAATTGCAATTAAAATCAGACGCTTAATCGAATCATTACAACTCGTACACGTACCCTGTACTTTCCTTCGCCAACTTGGAAAACGCGGAACTTCTGACGACAGGTGCACAACATGACGAGCCGTTTGACTTCGTCGTGTATCTTGTCCGTGTCGTTGTAAGTTCGTCGTTCTTCCCAGTCGGGTCGCAGAGCGGCGATGAACTCCTTCCAATCTATCAAGCCCTCACCGTGACGGTCGAACAGATCGGCAACAGCACCCATTTCCAGACGAGAAGTCTCGAATTCTATAAGAATTAAACAATTGGAATATTAGAAAAATACCGATGCTATTTTCTTGTTTAGAAAATAAATAAGCGAGATAAATACTGGTGTTCATAATTCCTTGAATGAAGTCCTCCCTCGGTATAAGTCCATCGTTATTCTTATCCATCTTCCTGAATAGATCCGTCAGCCTGGATTTCTTGTGATTCATGAACTTCAGGAACTGCAATCAGATAATATTTTTAAACGGTTTGTGACAATTGACAAAGAAATAATTAAATTTGTATTTCTAACAGAAATAAAAGGGCGAATCTGTGTTACAAGTCTTACCCGCTTGCGCCAATCTTCCCAGCTAAAGTTAGCAACGCGATCCAGCTCCTGAATGTAATTATATTTGTCCTGCAGACGACGTTGTCGCTCCCACGCCAGCATCCAAACGTGACGCCACTTATCCCAGAGAAGCTTGACTCGCGGGCTACGGAATTCCGGCTCGGCTCCTTTGCTGCTTGTAGAAAGAAAACGTGTATTTGTACACGAAAAACATACATATTTAATAAATAAGAATCGAAAATGTGAGATGTTATCTTAATACAATTGGTCACCGAGATAATCTCACAAAAAAAAAAGATATAACTATGAGACATGATATTCGCGAAAGTAAAGAACTCATATAAGTTCAAATGTAAATGTCGCATCAGAAAACCCAAAATTTCACACTTACAAGACAGACAATTTTCTGAACGACCAATAACAGTTCATCAAACCCAACCACATGTCATCCCGCAAAGAGGAAAAAAAAAACAAGAATCCCTTTTACCGAGACATTAGTGAGTCGTATGGTAAGCTTAGTAATCCCTGTACGATTCGGATGAAAACGACGGAATGGCGCAGAGAATGTACTGAAATAAGACTAGGTTTAACGAACCTTCCTTTGGGTGGGAAGCGTGGACCGATGTGCGGCAATGAAAGGTCTGGCGTTCTATCACGACCTGGGCTGCCTCGGCTAAACAGGAACATGCGTCACATCACTCAAACATTCTCTACCTAAATAAGGCATCTATAAGACGCTCTTCTTCGCGTCTCAATACAGCACTATAGTTTATAGATTGTTTCTCATGTGAATATTAAATTATAAAAGTGTGAAACTTAACGCGAGTTCTCATTAAGTGTACAATTTTCACTTACATATGGAAATTATATATTTAAATAAATGTTTTAAAAAATTCAGTCTCGCATCATCGTGTTAAAAAACAGATTGTTAATCGTCTTAAGCTATGTGTAATGCATTATAAATAACGTAACATCTAACACAAAAAATGCAAAAGAATATAATGTGTCTGATTGATTTTTTTAACACAGTGCACTGTGAGCAGTAATAAAAATTTATGCATGTTGCAGTTACAAGTGAAAAGCAAGTAAATTAATACATTTAATTAAATTTTAGAAACTCCTGTTGCTGGATACTGCAAAATTATTGTGCGAACAAAAATATGATCGTGTGATGAGAATGTTGTGTTTTGAATATTATAAAATCGTACAAAAATAAACGCATACATTTCTACTGCAGATGTGCACATTAAACACAGGAAACGCTGAATATACTTACGAAACGGCTAATGCGATTAAGATACGTGAAAAATATTTACATGTTATGATGGACAACGCACCTTTGTTTACGAGGCTGAGGCTGCTCATGCTCGCTATCCTGATAGAGATCCTTACTGAAATCCCATTGCAAGCGACATATCATGCGACAGTTAAACACACACAATATACGAAAATCAGTACATAAAAGGTGAAATAAAACAGTATATCAAACAAGCATCTAACAAAGTAAAAGATTCTTTCAAACATGATCTGAAATTATTCCTAAAATTGCAATGTGCGTAGCAAGACTTCGTGAAACAAATCGAAATGATTAACACACAGGCACAAATGTGGCACACATATGAGCAGGATGCAAACGAAACTTAAACGATTCGAACGTGGAGCGAGCATATATGGAATACAATACTGTGCATATTATCAGCATCCATCATGTATCCATATTTCTTCACAAAAACGAAAAGAATTTCAATTTCATTCATCAGTATCGATATTATCAACGTTTCATATATATAAATTTTCATGTCGATAAATACGTACGTAGGCGCTGGCGATCTGACTTTCGATATTTTTCTCGTGTCCCTTATCGGCTTAATTTGTCGGGCCTTGCACACGCGATCGACCTCGTTTTGCCTTCGGCTGGTATTCTCCATGAACTCCCTATGATCCGCGATAAGCATTTCGAGCGTGGCCCTGTCGTCGGGCAAGGGTTCCGCTTCCAGGGCATTCAAAGTGTTCTCCAAACCTTCGAGCCAGGCCAATAACTCCTCGAGAAGATTATCAAGATCCTGCAAATGCGCACATAACAACATCAGTCTATTCTATAAAATAAAATTATGTATGCCTACGAGATACAATATGGCGTAGTGCAAACCTGCAGTCCCTGCATATGATTCTCCAGCCTTTGGTTCCTCTGATAGGCCCACGTCGCCACTTCTTCCCATCTTGATTGAATAATCGTGATCCAGTGCTTGATAACTGCGGCACCGTCGGGATGCGCCTTTCCAAGAATAATATGTGCCAACTCTAGCGTGTTGTCCTTCTCGATTTCCTTAGTCTGTAACTCGCGGAGGAATCTCTGGTGCTCCATCAGTTGATTCCTGCTCTCCTGCTCGTCCTCCGGCAGCGGTCCGGCGAATCGTAGCTTCATCTCCGCGTCGCTCAGCCATTCCAGCAACACGTGAACGGCTTTGTGAAGCCGTTCGGCCTCTCTGATGGCTTCTTCCAGCAGTCTGGCCTTCTTCGTCGTGAGACTGGTCACTCGGTCCCAGAGGCTGTTCAATTCGGACAACTGTGATCTGATCATCGACGCGTCTTCAATGGAGGCTTTGGATTCCAGTTCGCGACCGGTTTTGATGACGGATTCCATCTGCGAGGCGCGCAATTCCAGATCTCTTTCAAAGGCCTTGTGTTGCTCCACTAAATTGGTCACCGTGTCCAGATCGCCGTGAAGTGGCCCGGGATTGGCCAGCCACTTTTCGGTCTTGCTCAACCATTCCAACAGCGCCTGAATCGCGTCCTTGAACTGTCCGGAGAATAGCAAGGCCTCCTCCAGCTTTCTCTGGCGATCCACGCATTTACCGCAGACCGTAGTCCACTTGTTCTTCAACTCGTTCAGAAGTTCCCTCAGGGCAAGCTCGTCGGACTTCGGCGCCTTGTCCTTCAACGTTTTGCCGTTCTTCATGGTGTTGTCGTACGTGCTTTGCTTAGCGCTCAGTGCCTTTTGCACCTCGCGGTGTCTATTGAGGCGCAATTTAATCTTGTCCGGATCATTGCCAAGTCCGTCGGCGGCGACTTCGTCCAACGTCCTCTCGGTTTCGTCCAACCAGTTCATCAGATTCGACCAGCTGTCGTGGAATTCCCTGGCCTCCTTGTAACCGTGATCTAGAGCCCTCGTTCTCTCGGCCGACTTGGACACTACTCGTTCCCATCTGTGTTGCACGCTCACAAGCAGGTTTCTTATAAGAATCACGTCTTGTTTCTGAGAGAAGTACTTGAGGTGGGTGCCTTTCTTGTCGAGATTAAGCATAGTTTCACGATGGACGCCGACGTCCTTCTGGAAAGCTTTGTGTTCCTCGATCTGTTGAAGTATGGTCTCCATGACCCTCGAGACCGGTTTGAGATTCGTCAGAATCTTTTCGGCGTTGGTCAACCAATCGACGAATGCTTGCAACGCGTCGTGGAACTCGGTGGCCTCCTTCAGGGCGATTTCCAACTTTATCTTCTTATCGCTGGCGCGCGAAAGCACATTGTCCCACTTTTGCTTCAACGTTCGTAGATTGTGATTCAAACTACCGGCGCTGGTCGTATCCGCTTTCTTCAGGTATTCCTGTCCTTGCTGCAGCACCGTCTCGACCTTCGGACGGTTCTGCTCCAGCTCGTTATACACCTCCATGAAGCGCTCCAATTGCTCGGACGCGGTCTCGGGCAATCCACCGACGGGCTTGGAGGCCACTATCATGTTATCCACGTCGCCCAGCCACGACAGCAAGTCCTGTATCTCGGCGGTGAAGGATTGCGCCTCTCGTAAGGCGTCTTCCAGTTCTCGCTGGCGATCGGCGGCGCGTTGCAGCAGATCCCGCCAACGGCGATTCAGAGTGCCCAGTTTATCGGCTGTGGTGGACGCTTCCGCTGTACCTTTGCCATCCTCGATCAATTGCCGTCCGGCGTCATTTAGAGTGTCGACGCTCGTTTGATGAGCTTGTATATCGTTCACCAGGACCTTCAGCTTGGCCAATTCGACTTCGATCACTTGTGGATCACCAGCTACTGGTCTGAGGTTATCCAGCGTCCTGTCGGTTTTCTCGATCCATACCAGCAGTTCGTCCAGAGCGTGCTGGAATTGACCGAGTCGCAACAACGCGTTCTCCAGTAATCGCTGCCTCTCCACCATGCCCCTCAGCAATCCGTCCCACCGTTTGTTCACGGCACCGAGCGGTTCCTTGATGGCTGCCGCTTGCTCGGAGGATGTTCTTTCCGTTAATTCGGCCGCTTGCCTAGATACGAAAAGACAATAATGTTAGAAAATTCCACCGTCATTTTTCTTGTTATGCAAAAACGTACGTGTCGCTTACTCGAACCACACAACATTGAACCATATCTACAGGGAGGACGGGTACAAAAACTTCAATGAGTTTTAACTACCGGAGGAATTAATATCAACTGGATATTAATTACTGCCGTTTCCACATTATGTCTATCAAGAATATGAATTATCGTCTACGAATTATTTCTATCAAGAATATAAATTATCGTCTACGAATTCTCGTGGTTGATCACTCGATTTACCTGCTACATGCGGCTGAGTAATCTGCCTTGAGAGAACATAAAGGGTGAGGATCCGATTAAATGTGTGACGTGAATTGTTAAGAGGGCAGCAAGATTATTAAACTAAACGAAGGGGGAGTAAACACGTTTCAGAACAACATGAAGCCATGCTCTAACTACCAGCGACAACACAGAGAGAGATTGACTTGCCTTGTCAGACTCCTATGTTCGGGAACCGGCGCAGAAAAATAAAAGACGGGATTAGATTTTACACATTTTCTCGAAGGTTTCACTTCATCGCAAATAATTCTCGGACGGGAGTTACACAAAGGGGACAATGCTGCGCACTGAACTCTTTGTAACGCCATTGACATGTAAATTCAGTTTTCGTTTTAACTTAAAAATTAAATCGTCACCTGTTCAACGCCTCGACCTTCACCATGTGCGGATCCACTTCGGCCTTGAAATTGGCCAGCTGTTTGATCTGCTTCTTCACCTCGTCGATGTCGCTGCCGAGCGGGCCCATCTCCGCGAATCGGTCCTCGGCCTCTTGCAAGAACTCCAACAGGTTATGCAGCGTCTCGTGGAACTCCATCGCCTTCTCCATGGCGTCGATCAGATTCTCCTCGCGTCTGGCGTACAGAGCGGTGACGTTGTCCCAAGCCTGATCCAAGTCTTCGATGTGCTTTCGCACTTCAGGTTTGTCCGGCTCGCCGCACAAGCCCATCAACTCGTGTCCCGATGATCGGACTTGCTCGACATCCGGCTTGGTCTGATCGATCTCCTGCCGAATTTCCTGCAACGCCACTTGCTGTTGCTGAATAGCGGCTGGTTGAGCCGCCGGTGGTGCCTGTCCAGCCAGCGCGTCCCCCAGTTCTCTCAGAGTGGCCATAACTCCGTTCAGTTCGGCCCAGAATTTCTCGGCGACGGCCAGAGTGTCGTCCAAGGTGCGACCGCGATCGGTCGTGGCCTTCTGCACGTCGATCCATAATTTGTTGAGTTTATCCAGCTTGCGTTTGATGTCCTTCACCGCCGGATCGGCCCTGTTGCCGGCTTTGTTGATCACGTCGTCCGCCGCTTTCTTAACGGCCGCGTAAGCCTCGGATCTCTGAGAGAGATCGTCCGCCAGAGCGGCGTTCTCCTCCATCTGATCGCGTAGACGAGGCGGATGGGCACTGACGGGTTCGGCGCCGTTCACCTGATCGGCGGTGGAGGACAATGCGCGCAGCATACCCTCCAGTTTATCGGAGAACAGAGAGGATTCCTGCAGGGCCTGCTCGAGCGCCTGTTGCCGGCCTCTCAGCTCGGCTCTCAGCGCCGCATAGCGAGCGTTATCGTTATCCAGGATGTCTTGCACTTTTATACCTTCTTCTTCGTTGCACAACTTGATGAGTGCCTCACCGGTCTTGTTGAGTTTCTCCACCAGAGGTTTGTGCTCGTTGATGCTCTGTATGAGAAGCTCGTTCTTGTCCTGTTGCGCCGCTATCAAGTCGGGCCGCAAGGCGGGCATGGGTAACATGGCGATTTGTTGCTCAGCCTCCTCGAGCCAGCTGACCAGGCCAGCGTGGGTATCGCGAAGGTGCTCCGCTAACGGCAGAGCTTGCTCGAGAGCTCCCAATCTATCCGACGATAAGGCTGACACAATTTCCATCGTCTCGCGCAAGTCCTCCATCTTGTCCCTGATGGTAGACGTGTCCTCGTGTTGAGCATTCTCGCGTATCACCTTCTTCGCAGTCGAAATAACATCACGGACTCTACCCTTCTGACTGGATATATCGTCGTTGAGCGCTTTGTGTTCCTTCAATTGTACCCTAATAATTTCAGGCTCGCTGCTAGGCGGCTCGGCCTCTCGAAGCTGATTGTCCACTTCTCTGAACCAATCGAGCAGATCGTCGATATCGCCGATCACCTCCAGGGATCGCTGCTTGCTCAATTGAATTCTTTCCGCCTTTCTCTGAATCTGCTCGGCAATCGCGTCGAATCGCCTGTTGTCCCTGGTCACGAGGCCTTCGATGGTCGCAGCACCTTCTCCCGGCGACATTTGACACAGCTGCGGGCCCACCGCGTTGATCTTGTCCAAGACGGGTCTGTATTCCGATATCTCCATCTCGAGTCGGATAATCTCTTCCTCGCGGGGTTCGGCGGACTGCAAAGCGGCCTCCGCGCCTTGCATCCAATCCATCAGACGATTGTGATTTTCATGGAATTGTTGCACCAGCGGTAAGGACTCCTGGGCGTGTTTCAGAAGATCTGACCCGCGCGTGACGAGATCGTTGAATCGTCGTTGCAGAGAGTCCAGCTTGTCCTTCAGTTGAAGCGCCTCGTCGCTCGAGATGTGTTTCATCAGTTCGAGGCCGGAATCCACGGTGCTGTCGACTTCCGTTTGTCGCGTGGACACCTCCTCCGTAAGATCCGCGAGGTCTTCCATCTGTTGCAAGAGCTTCTCCGTGTGCACAGCCAGGATGCGATACTTGGACAATCGGATCTCCATGCTCTCCATCCACGCCTGCAGGTCTTGATACGTGAGAACCAGATGACGTAAGCCTTGCCTCGAACGTTGAAGCAAGCTACCGAGAGCTTCGGATCGTTCGACCAAAGCCGCGTATCTATCTGCCGCATCCTGAAGCTTGTCGGCCAACGTGGCGGCCTCGTCTTCGCCTACGAGCGCCATAAGTTGGCTGGCTATCTCCGTGAGTTCGCTGAAGTCCGGGGTCTTCGATATAATATCCTCGTGAAGCACATCGTGCTCTCTGACACGCTGCTGTATTTTCTCCTCGTCGGTAGGAATCAATTCCATATCCCTCACTTTCTTCTCCGTCTTATCCAACCAGATGGTAAGTGGTACCAATTTATCTTGGAATCGCTTCGCCACCGCCATTGCTTGCTCAAGAGCGTCCATCCTTTCCGCGGCGCTTTCCGTCAGATTATCGAATCTGCCTATTAGATCGTTCAATCGCTTCTCAATGACCTTACGCTCCTTCGGGTCCGCGTCGGCGGCCACCTCTTGTCCCATGTTGTAGAGAGACGTCATGGAATTTTGTCGGTCCATCAACATCTTCTTCAGGAATTTCTGTTCTTGCAGCTGCGCCTTCACGACCTTGTAATCCGAAGAAGGTGATTTTTGATTCGACACCATCTCTTCCGTATCGGTCAACCATTTCTCTAAACCGTCCAAAGCCTCTTGGAATTTGCCCGACTGCAGCAATCCAACGTCCAACTTGCGATCGCGTTCGTTCAGCTAAAAATAAATAATTATTAATTAAAATTAAATTCCAACAGTGTACTCAAGGCAAAAATTCAGAATATAAGGACAAAAATTAATAAATTTTTTTAAATACTTGAAATATTTGAATACTTTAAATATTTGAAAATTAATATAATACATTATTTTAGTGTTTAATTATTAATTTTCAGAATGTAAAGAACAAGAGCTAATGAGCCAATGCAAAGTGACCGTGCTTAAGTATGTATCTTAATAATATTAAATGTATACAAAGATAATAAACAATACACATTAATTAAAATGTATGTTATTTATCATCTTTGTATACATTTAATATTATTAAGATTATATACATAAGTACAGTCAGCTTGCATTGGCTCATTAGCTCTTGTCCTTTACATTCTGAAAATTAATAATTAAACACTAAAACAATGTATTATATTAATTTTCAATGTATTTAAAAAAATTTATTAATTTTTTTAATATATGGAATATACATTCCTTAACATGTAGATACAGATCGAATGCTTACCCTGTCTTTCAAGTCATTCCACCTTTCATTCATTTTATCGACGTCTCTTTCGATATTAGTGGTACTGACATCACGTCCTGCAGTTTGTATAAGGCCTTGACCGAGCGCGTTACATTCGTCGACGGCGTGCGCCAGCGGCTCGATCTTTTTAACTTTGAGAGTTCTGAAGTCCTCCTGCTGAGCTTTAATCGAGTCCACTTCGGATCCAACAGGTTTAAATCTTCTCACTTGTTCGTTTGCATCATTGATAGCCTCCATAACGTCCGCGTGCAACTGATAGAACTCTTGTAACTTGTTCAAGGTAGAAGTGAGTTCGTCCTCCCTGGCGCGCGTGCGCTCATCCAGCTTGCCTATCTGTCGTTTGAATCCGTCAACCTGATCTCTCGTCGCTACAGCGTCAGCGGCGAAGCCGTAATCAACCAAACGTTCGCCGCGATTCTGTAGATCGCCGATCTCATCGTAGAGTTTGTTAATTCTGCTGATAATCTTGGCGGTATCCTCCAATTGTCCTCGTACAATTTTGATCTCTCTACCGGGTGCTTTCATGGAGTCCAGATCTTTTTCCAGAGCGGCCAGATGTTGGCTAATCAATTTCGCTTGATCGTTAAACTGCGCGACCGCCGTCGCCGCGCTTTGCAGCTCGTTGCATCTGTCGTCCAGTTTCGCTTGCAGATCATTGATGCGATCGGTAACATTGTCGATCTCGTCTTGCAAGTGCGTCGCATCGACGCCCTGCTCGCCGGCCTTATTCACAAGATCGTTAGCCTGTTGTCTCACGCATTGCAAGGGTTTCTTCAAGCTCGTTGTTTCCTCTCTCAAGGCCTAAAAATTACATAATTAATATATATTTTGTATTAATCGTAAATTTTGTTTCGTAACAGTACAAGAAATTTAATTACCTTTATTCTGTCGAGAAGTTTCGGATCTTTAGCCGCTCCGCCGAGGGCATCGTGTGAAGCTAACTTATCCTCGCAACGTTGTAAACCGTGCTGCAAATCGCGTAAGTTCTCGTTGAAGTCCATTAGGTGACGTGCGGTGTCTTCCAAAGACTGTGTTCTAGACAGCAAGTCTGCAAGAAAAATTAAATTGTATTATAACACAACACACGCAAGTTTAAACTGTGATAAACTATGATAACTGTGACAATAGCAAATTGAAACGTACCATTGTTTAATTTATCCCATCTGGTTTTCATAGCACTAAGCTCATTCTTTACGTTTTGTTTGTCAATGTCGCAAGCTCCGACAAACGTCTCGCCCAGCATCTTGTTATTTTCGAATTCTCCGGAGTGCTTCCACACTTCGTTTCTGAACGACGACAATTCTTTCAGTTGCTTCTCAATGTCCTTGCGTCTGAAGGAAGTGGGGATCAAGCTATCCAATTTATCCTCGGCCTGTCGAAGCCATGGAAGGAACACGTCTTGTGCTTTGTAGTATTTCTTGCAATGCTCCGCGCAGGTTTGCAGTCGGGTGTGCCTCTCGACGGTATCCTTCTTCAAACGATCCCACTGCGACTGCATCTTATCCAAGTCGCGTTGAAGCGAGCGGTTCTCGGCTTTCTGAGACCGCGCAAGTATGTCGCGTCCTTTGTTCAACAGCATTATGACTTCGTGCTCTTTACCCATCACATTACGATAAACGGGCTAAAAATTCAATTTTGTTTTTTTTTTAAATAAAACTGACATGAAATATATAAGAAAAAAAATAGAAATGATTTTAAATAATTAAACATACCTCGTGATGATCAAGTTGCTGTTGCAAAATTTCTCTGTCAGCAGACACTAGCAGCTTCTCAGACATGTTTCCAAGTTCGTCAGCGAGCCATCCCAGAGTTCTGCTACAGGAGGCCTCGAATTGTCTTCCATCTCGCAGGTTACCTTCGATCTCTGCTTTCCTGTGATCCAGCTTCTTCTGCAAGTTATTGTACATCTTGCTCACTGTGGCCAGCTTTCCTTGAATTTCGGATCTCGACGCTGGATCACTCAAGACCTCACAGAGCTGCGCACCGGCCATCTCCACGTCCGCTAACAACGGTCTCTGGCCCTCCAATTGTCTCTCCAGATTCTCGATCTTACGAAGCTGCTCTTCGGGATCCTTCTCAAGAGACAGCTCGTCCAAATTGTCTGAGATACCTTGCAGAGCGTCTCGCAGCCGGTTAAGGCTGGCGTCGAATTCACGACTAGTGTCAACGGCATCGCCCAAACTCTGAGCCCTTTCATCCAATCTTCCCATTTGATCCGCCCATCTCTGCAAAATGCTCTGCAACTTCGCGTTTATCTTCTGTCCATCCATCGAATCTATGGATATCGTGACGAGGATGCTCTCCCCGACCTGTACCAGATGATCCAATTGCGGCTGCTGAGTTCTAAATTCCTCTCGCAAAACCTGCACTTGCTGCACTTGACTCGCGACCATACGAGGATCGGACGAGATCGGTCCTAAAGCGCCCAGCATGCGCTCTTTAGCGCCGAGCCAAGAGTTAAGACCGTCATACGTGTCATAGAAATCTTTAATGTCTTCCAGGAATTTAATTCGGTCCTTGCATCTGTCCGAAATCGATCTCCATCGACTGACGACGTCTTCCATCTCGTCGTTCAATCTGTCCACGCCGTGCGCTCCTTTCTTACGCCTGACCAAATCGCGCACTTGCGTTCGAGTACTGTCCAGTAGAGATTGCTTCTCGTACATCTCCTCGACGAGAACTTTAACTTGCTTGGCCGTTTTGTCAGCATCGTCTTTAGTTGCGGGCATACTTTCTTTAGGCAACTGCCGTTGAATCTGGTAACAACAAATTATTTATGATTATTCTGCTATCATCAAATATACATTATAATTTTAAAAGTTTTAATGTTATTTTTAAAAAAAATCTTACCTTATCCAAGAATTGTGAGAGCACTTTCAAATGATCCAAATGTTTCTTCAATTCCTCCTTAATATTATCTATCTCCGTTTGGCGATCTGACAATCTGACACCGAGTAATCCGTATCTGTGATTAATTTCCGAAAGCTGCTGTTGAACGGGCGACAATTCCTCCAGATGGAAACCATCCTGGCTCGAACGACGGCTGCTGAATCCGCTGCTACCACCTGGGGAGACCGGACTTTGAACTGCGTAGGATTTAGTGGGTGACGGCGAGCGACCGTCTTGTGACATTCGCAGTACTACAAAAAAAATAACAGAAAAAAATGGTCAAACGTAACGAAAATGGTAATGATTGTGTGCTGAAAAAGATGCGTGAAAGATATGAGCTAGTTCTGCTAGTTGTTACAACTGATAAGTTACATAAATTGATCCGCAAAAATGTGCACGGTTCGTAAAAGCATGCTATCGAAAAGTATCTATGGAAGATCGCAAGTGTATATAATGACAATAGCGAATGTAATTACCTGGTCTCTTCGTCGGACTAGCACTGCCACGTCGACGCGTTGGACTTTCGCCGCGTTCCTTCATCAAACTGTCGTAAGCGATGCCGAGATCGTTGATTTTATCGACCGTGTTGCCGTAGTCGCGATACTCCTTCTGTATGGGCTTCAAATCCTCCTGCTGTATTTTCAGTTTGTCCAGATCTACGGCGACCGGTTCGAGTCCCTGCACCTTGTTCTCCGTACGGGTAAGCCAGTCGAGTATTTGATCCCGCAGCTTCTCGTAGGCCGTATGCTGTTCCGCCCTCGATTTGCACAGTCGCTGTTTCTCGTCGAGCAGATTGTTCAGTTCCTTCCACTGGGACTCGAGCGCCTTGATCTTATCTCTGATCGCGCCCGCTTCGGTTATGTCCTTCTTGGAGATCAGATTCTTCCCGTTACGTATGAGATCCTCGAAGTTGCCGCGCTGATCCTCGCGCATGTCTATCAGCTGAGCCATCTTGGCCTCGTACTCCGACATGTCGAGCTTGTTCAGATCTCTCGCGTCGAGAATCTCCATCATATGCGCGTACCAACTCTCGAACCTGGCCACGTCTCCGAGGAACTCGTTCAGGGCCTGCGCGATTTCGTCCAGGAATTCACCGCGCCTCAAGGACTTGTCCATCAGCTTCTCAAATCTGCTTTGCACATCCTTCAGCTTGCTCTCGATACGTTTGGCGATGCGAACGTTGCTCGAATTCAGGAGAAGATCCTGAGCGTTCGCTGTGATAGTTTCTACGCTCAAACGGTGGCTATCCAAGTCCGCTTGAAGTAATCGCTGTTCTCTTTGCTGCTCTTCCAAGCGTTCTTTCTGCAAACTTGCCGGACGTTGGAGCGACCTATAACAATGCGATTTGTTAAAATTTGTTTAAAAAAAAAAAAAAACTTAAACAAGGTTGCCACAAAATTGGAAATCAGAGAAAAGTCAGGAAATTTTACAAAATTTTCTGGAAAATTAAAATTTTTAGCTTTAAAGAAGTTTAATATGCGTACATCACCCTTATACAGTTTTTTTTAGCTAATGTAAACTCTTTTTAATAAAGGTTTAAAATGCTTCAACTAAAAGCATTAGAATTTTCAACTTGTCTACTTTTTATTGGAATTTTAAATTTATTTAAAACTGTTTTTTTTTTTAAACTTACTTGTAAGTTTCTTGTGCCACTTGTGAACAAATTAATAAAATTAAAATTAACTTCATATTTTTGTAATTCTTCTTTCAAGGTTTTAAATTTTTGTATAATAGCAAGTTGGAGATTCAAATAAACAGAATTTAGTTTTTATCAAAAAGAATCTATATTTACATGTTTCTTGTATTGTGAGTAGAGGAAAAGAAATGTACGCACATATAAAAGAAAAAGATAAAGGAATACTAACAACTTAACAATTAAGTGCAAGCAATGTCAACAACAGTAATAGTAATTTATATTGCTATGTTAAATTACTCTCTCAACAAAGTATTTAATTTAACAGTTAATTATAACGGTTAAATAAATATTTAACGATTTCCAAATAGTTTTCAAATCAAATGAACATACAAAAAATTTTTTTAATATTACTGAAAATCAGGGAAAAGTCATGGGACTTTAAAATAAAGAATTTGTGGCAACCCCGTTAAAGTAAAACAGAATAATTCGAAAATAATAATTGTATGTCTCTTATACTTACTTAAATTGACTTTCTACGTTGTTCAGCCATGCAATTAGATTGTCCAATGCATCTTGCACTCCTTGGCTTCTCACCAACGCTGTGTCGAGTTCTTGACACTTGTCAGCCAGAGCATTACTGAGTTGTCTGTACTTATCTTCTAACGCCCTCACTGGCTCCTCGAGCTCTCTAACCTCGTTGACCGTCAGTTGGCCTTCCAAAGAATTTAGCAGAGCCTCAAGGCTGTGCTTAGCATTGTCGATTAGACGTTCGTTAGCAAGGAATTCGTTGTTCAACGTCTTGGCTTTGCTCAATTGATCTTCCACTTGTTTCGGTTCCGCGGCAACAGGCTCGGAGATAACTCTGTGCACTTTCGGCTCGACGTCCCTCAACCACGTTCTAGCTTTCTCCAAGGAATCGTGATAATCTCTCTGTTTGCCGCCAACTCCCGACAGTCTGTCCGACAGAAGATTTGCTCGGGCTAATAGATCTTTGTATCGAGCTGTTGCGCTGGATACTTCGGCTCGTATCGGCGAATCCTGGCTAGCTGTGGGCTCTTTATGTGGCAATCTTTGTGGCAAGCTAGTCCTGAAGTCGTTGAGAACTTGAAGATACTCCTTACTCTCATCAACGAACTTCTGCGCGGCCATTGTAATAAATCTCAAATCCGCTTGATGGGCGATGACATCGCTGATGAAATCGCGGGTCGTATCTGTGCTGCTACTGAGCTTGTTCAGATCGGACAAGGATCGCTCCTTATCCTCGAGCACGCTTCTGGCTTTGTCCAACCAAATCGAGAATGTCGTCAGCTCGTTCCTGCGAAAGAGACGAATCAATTAAATTCGAAAGACACTAAATTATTCAGCAATTACACGAGAGATACTGACTTGAACTTTGTTAGTTCATCTCTGGCACCAATGAGACGTTTCACTAATTTGTCAGTGCGATCTAACGCTTTGTCGAATCGAGTTTTCAGAGATCGACCGTTCTTCTCCAGTGTAGACACTTCGTCGCTGGATAGCACGTTGCTGCCAGTCAAGACGACTTGTCGAATCTGATCCAGGCAGGTTGAGACGGGTCGGCTGTGCGATTCAAGATCCTCCTTTATTTCCTGCGAGTAACATTAGCGTTCGTGTGTAATTATTTAATTCTATAAAATATGCGTAGTCCGACGTATTGCTCGATTAACACGAATTACGATTACGTGAGTTCCATTGCTTACTTTCATGACAATTATCTGCTTTCTCAACTCCTCTACGTCTTCCTTGACGGTATCCTGATCCGCCAGTTTGTCCTCAACCTCGGAGATCCACTGCAGGAGCTTAGACAGCGTCTCGTCGCAGAGCTTGTACTTCTCCTCCACCGCTTGCTAAAATGAAGTTGGAGAAAAACAATTCATTTCTATCTACTCGTGCAGTCCGTCTACATCTAATGTGCTAGAAAGAAAACTAAAGTAAATCATAAGAATATATCGTCATCTTACCAATAACGATATAAGCATTGTATTAATTAAAGATTAAAGAAACGTAGGTATTATAAGCTTACGACATATCTCACGCATGCAAACACAGGCACACTTTAAACGTACAGGTAAAAAATACAGTATTAAATGATAGCTTTAATTTATCTGCAAGAACTGCATATCTCTCGTATCGGATTTTCATATGCAGTTTAAAGCATAAACGATAAACAGTAAGATAACGTAATAAAACACGTTCCAATAAGCAAATAAATTAAAACGCACAATGACGGAGTAACGATCGTGTGATGACATACTGCATATAATAAATGCGTATGATACAGTAAATGTACAATGTGGAGAAACTTCCGCTAACTCATGCTAGCGGAAAACATAGGTTCGTGATAAGTAAACATAATCATACCTGAAAAAAAGGAAAACATTTAAATTTATAATAATTATCACAACTCTGAATAAACAAATATTAAAAACTAGTTGGATTAAACGCATATTAACAAGTAAAATTGAAAAAATTGAGTCAAGATATTATACATTTGTTAATTTCTCGTCATAATGTGTTAATCGTACAAATTTCTTGCGGATCGGTAAATAAAACCAACTAAGATTCCAAGAACTTATTCCTTACATTATTTCTCACGAAAAATCTTTTAATTATAGAATAATATATTAGGAAGTGCTGATGCGGTGCTTACAATTATTGCGTTGGTCTTGATTACCGTCAAGCATTTCACGTTTACTTAACATTACGTTAAAAATGATTAAAACTGTCCTACTATCAATTATCGTCTTGTATCCCTTATTGCAATTTTGTTATTTCTTTTACAGATTATCAAGATACTTGACTATTATCAAATTTTATTTTCTATTCACCAATGCCTTTAATTTATTTGCCACAATCGTCTGTCACTTACAATATATCCCATTTAAACCAATGTTCTACGAAGGATGATGAAAGACAGAAAGCAACGACATGATTATGGTTGCATGTCCTTTCAGCCAAATCCTTCTTCTCCTCGGGCAAGCGTTAATTTTGAATGAAAAATGGAGACAAATGCCAATTTGCAATTTTTTATTCCATACATGCATGCCGTATGCATTAATATGATCAGCGAATGACTTTTTTTTCAACCAAAGAAAATCATTAGTATTCCATGATCGAATCAGGTGATCCAACATGTAATCCAGCCTAGAGATTTCGCTGTATTTTCATAAATGTTTTGGAAATAAGTTATATAAACACGTAACTTTTTTAAATCGCGCTGCATGTAAAACGATAGAAGTTTTATCACAAAAAAAAAACAAAATAAGCAAGTTAAAATTATTAGATTAATGATAAAATTATAGATTAACGATAAAATTATAAATTAATGCTACTTAATTTATTAAAAAGGGATTAGCGTTGTTGATGCGACAAAACTTGGGATTATTAAATGATATTCTGCGTGGTGGAGGAAGATTGTTCATGATGCGATGTTCAATATTGTCCGATGGTCTGCAGATCGCCGATTGTAAATGACGAGCCCGAGGGAACGTACGCGGTGTCCGATTAGTGTCGTTCGTGATGATGGCCGACCTTTGACCCCACATTAAGGTAATGAAGGAAAATAAGCACGAAAGTAAGTATGGTGTATTACATGATAAGGAGAGTCTGAGACAAACTGTTTTAAAGCGAGCATTCCGATAAAAGGAAGCACGGGGATGATTCCTCTATGAAGTAGAGGGAAAAAGAGACAAAAGAGTAGAGTGAGAACGATTTTAATTTACGCTCATGCATATGTGTATTATTCTTCTTAATCCTCGATCGAGACGTAATAAAAATGTCATGCGAGTCAAAAAACGAGGACTTAAGAGATCCCGTGCGGAACCGTTATGCCAGCAAGCGGCTCTCCTCGCGAATGGCATAAAATTTCACGTCGGATCAGGCAAGGCGAGATGTGACGGAGAGAGAATCGCACGACAATAAAAACGTAATGTCTGTTTCGTGACAGCGTAATGATAATCACATCCAACTCTCGGAGGAAGCTGTTAGAGAATCGTGAGTGGAAATAGTAGCAAACGTAAACTCGGGTGTGAGAAAACTTGGAGAAACCCAACAGCAAGAAAAAAAAAATAAAATAAAATAAAACGAAACGGAGGACAAAGAAGAGTCAATTGGTGCGGGAGTCGCGGGGTACGTGTAAAAGGCATCATTCTGGCTGGTCCTACTTACCCTGGCTTCAGCGGCGAGTATATAACCCCGCTCCAAGGCCTTCACGAAGTCGATACTCTTGCCGTCAGTGTCCTCGACTAATCTGCCTCCTACAGAATCTACCTTCCCGCTATTCACTGCCTCTAACAGACTCGCGATATTACCCGTGAACGGATCTTTTACGACGGTGGTGGACGGATCGATCAGACCCGACTCGATCGCGTCCGCCAGCGTGAGGCGCCTACGATCTAGCACGGAAGTGACAACGAAGGGATCGTGAAAACCGCCGGTGGTCGGATTGTAGAGACCGAACTGCAGCGCTTCGATGAACGAAACGCCGTTCCTCGGGGTGATCAACAGGCCGGTTTCCAGGGCCTTGGACAAGCTGTACAACTTGGACGTCGCCGTGTCCAGCACGTTGCCCTTCTCCGCGTCCATCATACCCTTACGGAACGCCTCCGGCAATTTCACCAGCTTTTTCTTCTGCGAGTCTTTAATCAACGCCGAATCCGAGTCTACGATACCGAGACCGACCGCCTCTTTCAGGGTCAATTGTTCGTTCGAGATCGGATCTGTGAACTTGCCCGAGTCCAGCGACAGATACTCTTTCTCGACTGCCTCCTCGAAAGTGAGAGGTTCCCGAATGAATACGGTGACGTCACCAAAACGCACGAAACGCGGTTCCCTTTTGCCTCCGCCGTTCAATTCAATCGTACCTCTGACGGAAGGATCTACAACATTGTCTGCGATCGCTCTTGCCGTCGTCACGAATCGACCGGTTCTAGGATCTCTCACAACCGATGTGTTCGGATTAATCAACTGATAATTGATTGCTTCTTCTAAAGTGCATTCTTTGACGTTTTTATCGCCAAGTCCAGCTTTGGTGGCCTCTAAGGGTGATCTCTGTATTATTTGTTGCGCTAGAGGTTTATCAATCGTGACCAGCAGGCCTCTCTCCAAAGCAACATCGATATTAAAAGCGCGTGTCGTCTTGGGATCTAATATTCTTCCCCGGGACACATCGACTGTCCCATCCTCGATGCCCGTTAATAGCGGCTTGATCTGTCCGGTCGTCGCATCCTTCAAGGCGGTGGTATCAGGGTCTATGAGACCGCAATCGATCGCCTGAAGCAAATCGTGATACTCGTTAATGACGGGATTAGCAAATTTGCCACTGTCGCCGCGATAAAGGCGGCACTTTACCGTCTCCTCGATCGAGAGAGGCGTCTTCGACGTGACGATAAAGCCCTTCTTTGCCGCTTCCTGCAGATTGATCGTTTTGTCAAGCTCGCGGATGATATACATGCCGCGAATGTCATCGATGATGCCCAAGGAGATTGCTTCGGCCAATGGGATATATCTATTAGACTTGGTGCATTTGATAATCGATGTCAGCGGATTTATCAGATCCATTTGGCACGCCTCGGCTAGCGTCAGCTTGCGATTGTTGGTTGGATGCACGAATTTACCCGATGAAACGTCGTACATATTCATCAATATCGCTTCGTATAGGCCAAATCCCATGCTCTCTATATCGACGATAAGACCGAGCTGCAACGCGACCGACAACGAGACCGCGCCACTCGTGCCCGGTTCCTTGAACATACCGCTGCGTCTGTCGATCACACCAGCACGACATGTCTCTGCCAATGACAACAAACGTTCGCCACGTTTGTCCCAGTAGCACGGCAACGTCGGGCTGATCACGCATTTTCTCATCGCTTCGTGCAACGTTACGGCTCTACCTGTACTGGGATCGGTAATTTTGCCCGTGTTATCGTCGTACAATCCTTGATGAATGGCACGCTGCAAAGACACGGCGGCTCTATTGTCAATGATGAGGCCAGATTCGAAGGCGTCCCTTAGAGATACGTTCCTACCCTTGTTGGAATCTTTCAGGTAGCCAGTAGTGCCGTCCATGTAGTCCGATTGTATAGCTTCCATTAGCGTCATTGTTCTCCAGACACTGGACCTCGTATCCTTGACGGTAACCGAATCAGCGTTTATCAGATTCTTCTGAATAGCTTCCAATACAGTTAGATAAATGCCCGTTTGCGGGTCTAAAAATTTGTTAGTTTTCTCATCGAGGATGCCCTTAGAAATTGCCTCGCTGAAGCTCATGGGTCTTCTTGTTTCGAGGAGCAAGCCACGTTCCAGCGCTTCCTGGAAGTCTACAGGCGGTCCTCTGGCGTGACTAACTGTACCAGATTTAGGGTCGACTATGAAGGTCTTAATAGCCTTGTTGAATGTCATCACGTCGCCGTTTGGATCTCGTACGATCGCGGTCGTGGCATCTATCACGCCCATCTTAATCGCGCGGTCAGTGGGAAGTTTCTCTTGCGTGTCAGGTATCGTAAATTGTCCAGTCTTCGGATCGTACAAGCCTTTGAAAACGGCGTCCGGTAGAGATATCTTACGTTTCGCCGGTACTATAAAACCGCGATCCAATGCGTCAGTTAGCGAAAGAGGCGCACTGGTACACGGATCTACTGCCGTACTGGTCTTCGCGTTAATAAAGCCGTGCTTTATAGCATCGCCCAAAGATATAATATCGTTGTTCCTCGGATCTTTAATCGACGGACTGTCTTTACTAATAAAACCTTTCTCGATCGCTTCCTCTAAAGAACAATTATTACCCTCAATATTGAAAGTACTGGATTTCGGATCGTAAATTTGAAGGGCTAAAGCTTCCTGTAACGTCCATGGTTTTATGGTACTTAAAATGTATCCCTTCTCAAAGGCGACGTCCAATGTCATGGTATGCGGATAAGTCAAAGTTCCTCTTACTAAATCTATCAGCTTACTTCCCTCTGCTTCATTAAGAGAAACAACGCTATCTTTTCTGTCATCTTTTACTACTGTAGTGGAACCGTTAACATAACCGATGGCTAATGCCTCTTTCAGCGTTATATTTTCACCCGTCATTGGATTCAGAACAAGGCCGGTCTTCGGTGAATAGTACTCCTGAACAATCGCATCAATCAGCGAAGGCACGAACGGTGTTGTAATAATCAGACCTTTATCAAGTGCTACGTCTAAGGGTAGAAGCTCTCCCGCTTTCGTGTCGTGCAAACGACCTGTACTGGGAATCACCAAGTTCATGGTTAGCGCGTCGTCCAACGAGACGGACGAACCGGCTTTTGTATCCTCAATCTCAGTGATAAAAGCATCAACGACGTTTCTACGAACGCCCTCCTCGACGTCGATCGATTGTTTAGTCAGAGGGTCTTGTATTTTTCCTGTTTCGGCGTCGTAGTGACCTTGCCTGATAATAGCTTCCAACGAGATCGGTTTGCGAGAAACTGGCACAATAAGACCTCGCAGGAACGCCGTCGTGATGTCAATTTCTGTTCTCATTTCTGTATTGATGACAACGTCCTTGCGAAGATCCACGACGCCCGTCTCGAGCGCCTCGGAAAACGGCACGATCTCGTCGGTAATCGGATTTCTTACGCCAAGCACATCAGCGTCAATCAGTCCTGCGTTAATAGCTTCGTTCATAGACAACGCTCGTCCCGTTTTCGGATCTTGAATCGTTCCTGTGATAGGATTGCACACGCCGGTATCGACAGCCTCTTGCAAACTTAGAGGCAGCGATTCTGCGAACTGTTCTCTCTCCGTTTCGTCCTCCGGTTCCTCTTTAATCCATCCCAAGCGCACCGCCTCGAAGAACGGTATTTTCTTCCCAGTTTTTGGATCCACCATGTAAGCAACGTTTCTATCTACAAGAGGCCGGCTTATTGCCTCGCGTAGTTTCACGTACAAATCCGTCTTGGAAGACAGATCCTTGACGAGCACTCGGTCGGGATTAAACACGTTCAGATTCAGCACTAGATCGTTAAAGGAAGTGACATTACCCGTTTCTGGATCCAAGAATTTCTCTCTTACAGGATCAAATACTCCAAATTCTGCAAGAACTTGAGGCGTTAAGTCTCTCGTAATAATTATCGAAATGTGTCTTGGCGTTTCTTCGTCCGTGATTCTTTTTAATTGACTATCGTCCTCTATTTCCATTTCGGTAGCGTAGACTTCTGTTATTCTTGCATCTGAAAACGCTTGTTTTTGCATTTCCATCGTGCTTAACTTTTTATCTTCGCCCTGAGAATCGACACGTGATCTCTGGGTAATTTGTATTTGGCTCGAAATAATTTTTGCAGGTGGACTTGATTCCTTCTTCCCCGAGATGGATAATTTCGTCGTCATGGATGCGCTCGGCTTTGTCTCTTTAGATTTGTGACTCGAAATTGCATCGACAACTGCTTTTCCAGCTAAGATTGGTGCGGCTACGACTGCCAGAAGACCCATTTTCGCAGCTTTCGCTATATTAATCGGGCGATTCTTCTGATCCCGCACGGTTTTCATTATTCCAGTGGCAGGATCGAGCAAACCTTTCTCGATTGCTTCTTTGGTGGTGATAGATTCTTTAGTTTTCACGTTATAAAGTACGGAATCGGGTTCGATTAGGCCCACTTTCATCGCTTCCGTCAAATTGTAAGATTTGTTCGTCTCGGGATCTTTAAACGTTCCAGTTTCTTCATCGTAAATCTGCTCGACCGCTTCTAATAGAGTCAAGTTTTTATTGGGTGTTTCGCTCTTGCTAGATGAAGTATCGAGGATTCCTTCCTCGACGGCCTTAGTGATAGGCATTGTAACACCGGTGCAAGGATCAGTGTAAATACCCTTTTTCATATCTACGAGTCCTTTCTCGACCGCGTGATCGAAAGACATCTTGATGTCTTTTGTCGTGAATTCCTGCTTAGTTTCAGATTCATCCTTGATGATACCTCTTTGTCGAGCCTCTTCGATCGGGATGATATTACCGGTATTAATATCTTGTACTTCCATCGCGCTCTTCAACGCATAACCTGGCAAAAGCTCAACAGTCTTGGTCGTGATAGTGTGATACGATGTAACTGTTTGAGTAATGGCAGCTGTGTTTTCACCACGAGCCGGCGGTTTAATGATAAGCAGACCAGACTCGACAGCCTCGACAATCGGAATCGGAGTTCCCGTAGTGGGATGGAAGAATACAGCGTTGTCTCTGTCGATCAATCCCGATTCCAGAGCTTTTGTTATTTCGATACTGTCAGGAGTTACTGGATACGGTAGTGCCATGATAAAGTCTTTCTTAATAGCGTCCTCCAGTGGCAGGCGCTCCTCGGTAATCGGATGACGTATTTCTTTCTTGCTAATGTCTATCAGTCCACGTTTTAGCGCGACGGGGAACGTCATTCCCGCCGGCGGTATGTCGAGAGACTCGGCTGGTTTCTTCAACTCGAACATTTTGTTCTCTATTGCCTTGACTAGATTCATGCTACCGCTTTGTGTCTTGACCAGCGATCTCTCCGCGTCGATAGTATCGTTTGCAATGGCGGATTGCAACGTTTCCGTACGGCCGTCGATGAACATTAAGTTAGATAGGGGATCTACTATCTCGCATACTATAGCTTCGTTGAGAGTGAGATGCGCGCCCGTTTCTGGATGAATAATTTTACCCTCCAAAGGATCTAGTAAACCTTGCATATACAAGCTAGGTACGGACAAACTTTTCGCCAAAGGTACCAATATATTCGCGCTCTCTGAATCCAGGATTCCACGATCGATAGCTTGCTTGATATTAACCACATCGCCTCTTTGCAAATCCACGATCTGTCCCTGATTGGCGTCTATTTGATCGTCGCGGATTGCCTCAGAAAGAGTGATCGGTTCACCTCTCTCGTTGCACATCTTTTTCGCAAAGGTATCCGCAGTTTCCACGTCGATGAGACCACTTTGCAATGCCTCTTCGACTTTTACTACTTTCTTTCGCATTTTCTGCAAAACGATAGACTTCGCTTCTCGTTCGGGACTCTGCGATAACGTTCTCGCTTTACCAATCGTAACTTGATACCTCGGCTCAACCGTCACTCGCGCTCTAGTCTTCGTGCCCAAGCTCTCGCCATCCGGAACATCATCAGATTTTGAATCAATTAAAATTGTACTCTTAGTGTCCTCCTTTAATACGCGAACTTTGCCAGGTTCATCGTGTACGACATGTTTCACGATAACTTTTTCATTTTCGTCGGGCGTACCACTCGCAGATTCAACAATAGGCGAAGTTGCGCTGTCGTCCATCGGAATGATGCCACGTTCAATGGCGACTTCTCTTGGCACTTTTTTACCAGTTACCGGATCCTTGACCATCGTTCTCTGTACCGCTTCTATGGCGGCCGCAGTGGCCGCAAGTGGAGCACCAAGAACGGCCACCACTCCGAACTTCGCCGCGTCGATCAGTGATATCTTTCTGCCGTCGTCGATCTTATATTCGCGCGTGTTAATATTGAGAATACCGCGATTAACAGCTTCCGCCATGCCGATGTCTTTACCCGTCGTTGGATCTTTGACAATCACGGCAGTAGGCGATATCGTTCCTTCGGAAACTGCGGCTAAGAGATTCGCGGATTTGCCAGTTTTCGTGGAGATCACTAAGGCCGTTCCTGGATCGTAAATCACTCCCTGAGTTACCTGCACCGGATCCGGCATAGACATTTCATCGCTGGTCTTTATCTCCATTTGCTGGGAAGGATCGCCAACATGTGTCAATTCTACTTTATCGGGCTTGCCCGAAACCCTCGTGATCTGAAGAAGCCTCTGATTAGTATTATCGCTGTCTATGCTTGGTCCGCCTTCCAATATGATCAATTCGTTCGCGATCGCTTCTCTCATCGAGATCTTTTGCGGATAACAGTAATGACCCGTGGAATCCAGAATATTTTTCTCCAAGCTTCGCACCAAGGATACCTTTCTTCCGTTATTAGGATCAATAACGAAGCCAGAATTCGGATTAATGATCTGAAGCTTTATGCACTCTTCGAAAGAAACCAATCTGTCAGTGCCGGGAATTATGAAAAGACCTGTAACAGGGTCAAATAGTTTCCTATCAATAGCTTCGGCAAGCGTCCAGCCATCTGTGGGTAGTTCGAACACCCGTTTATCCGTGGCAACACGTTCGTTTTTTATAAATTTCATTATCTCTGATGTGCGACTCGTAGTCGGTGTAATTACTCCCATATCTTGTTTTTCATCACGCAAAGGCGATTTAAGATCATGACCTGCATGCGTTTCTTCGAACGAACTCGTTTTCGATGTTATTTCGGATGTCCATTTGGTTGATTCGCTAACTTTCGTCGATGACATCTCTTTAGCCGTTGATTCTCGCGCAGAAGAAACAGAATCAGTCGGTGCAATCGTCATCGTAACCGATGACGACTCTTTCATCGGCGTAGACGATGCCTGCGGAGTAATTTCTTTGGTAATGATACTGGTAACCGTGCCAATCGCTCGAGGCGGTGATTCGCTTCTTCTACTTCTAGGTACTTCGCCGATACTAGTCGTTAAGGTGCTTTCGAAACGTTGGCGAACGTCATCACCGAGCAAGCTTTGCTCAAAGGCGTCTTCAATAGACATCGTCATTCCCGAATCAGGATCTCTAAATTCGTTTCTACTTTCGTCGATCAAGCCGCTACTCAACGCCTCTTCGTAACTCATCTTATAATCTCTTGTAACAGTCTCGCCGGTTTGCAGAGTCGTCACATATCTTCTGATGGTTTTCGTCACAGTCTGCGTGGTGACTGCGATATTCAGTAGGCTGGTGAGCAGCGCGGCACCGTCGGGAGTGATGAGTCGTCGCTTGATCGCTTCCTCCAAAGGCACTATTCTTTTGCTACGTGGATCCAGCAACTGACCGGATTTCGGATCGAGCAATCCGAGCAACACGGCCTCGAGAACGCTCGTTTCGCGTCCGTTCTCGGTGATGCCGATGCCGCGGTTCAGCATCTCCAACACTTCCGGCCGGATGTAACCCTGTTCCTCTGCTTCGCTTAGAGAAACGGTCTTTCCAGTTTTCAGGTCAATCGTGAAGGTACCGCCGGATTTTGAGCTAATCAGACCTTTCAGCAATGCTGCATTCAAACTGATGTACTCGCCAGAAACAGGATCTTTAAAGCCATCGATGTCGAAGATAGACTTTCGAGTCACCGACGTGATCAGGCCTTTTTCGACGGCTTGAGGGACAGAGTACTCTTCGGCCTTCAACATGTCGCGATATGTACCGTCGACTTTAATTATCCCGCTGGTCAAAGCGTCGGCTAGCGTAATCATTTCGCCGGTTCGGGTATCTACTATGGACTTGATGTTCTCCGAGTCTAAAACACCGTGGGATATGGCCTCCAGTATCGTTAATTTGTTACGATGTGCCGGACTGGCGATCTTGCCCTTATCATCAATAATTTCCAGATCACAACAATCCTTGAGCGTCATCGGCTTGACGATCAGCTGTCGACGACGAGCTTCCTTGAACGGCAGTTTCTCCATCGACAAGCCGTGCATGTATCTACCGCTCTTGGCGTTCAGTACACCGCGCTTCATGGCCTCAGCCACCGTCACCTTGCTGTCGCTCCTCGTGTCTACGATCTCTTTCACGTTCGGATCAACAATACCCTTGTCGACGGCTTCATCTAACGGATAAGACTCGCCGGTAATTCTATCGACGATGCGGCCGGTCCGATCGTCCACGAGACCCTGCGATATCGCGTCGGAGAGTGTGATGGCATTACGAGTCACCCTAACGGTCACGTCCACCTTAGTGAGATAGCCGCGTGAGTACGCCTCCTCAATCGAGATCCGCTCGCCATTCTCGACAACGACCTGCCCCGTGACCGGGTCCAACAAGCCCTCTCTCATCGCATCGACAACGCTAAATCCCGTGGTGGCGGTATTACTCCCGCCACTGTCGTCGCGACGTGCTGTCGTTACCTTAACTCGGTCTGCGATGTCGGCCCGCTCGGCGTCGCAGAGCTCCCGTTGGATCGCCTCGAGCAGGGACACCCGACGACCCTCCTCGTTCACCCCGCATGGACCTAACAGCCGATCGGCCAGCGCCGCATCGATGACACCGCCGCGCGCGGCCTCCTCGATCGACACGCTCGTCCTGCCGTCGCTCGACGTCACTATCCTACCGTTCCTAACGTCGAGGATCCTGAGCCGAATCGCCTCGCCCACGGTCAGGACCTCGCCGGTGCTCGGATCTACGATACCCCTAACGTCAATCACATTCTCCGCCCCGATAACACCCCCGTCGTCGATCCGCGGTACCCTTCTAAGATCCCTAAGCTCGCTACTAAGTCCGCCGTCGACGGACGAAAACTCGTGCTGCTGCTGATGCCGCCTGCTGGAACTCGTCGCACCGCTCTCGTGCGAGCGCTTGAGCAAGGTACCACCGGTGTCGACGGGTTGAACCGGACTGGTGGTCTCGCCATTAGGACGATACGCGGTCTGCTCCGCGCCGTAACTTCGCTTCGAGGTCTCACTTGAGAAAGTCGTCTCGGTGGACTCATGCCTCTCGGAGGTATATCTGCGGCAAGAGCCATCGAGAGGCGTGAACGTCGGATCGAAACGCACCGCGCGTTTATCGCGTAAGGAAGCATAAAGATCCATTTTAATACGGATCTAAGGTGATTGGAGAATAAGCACCTATCGTGGAGTACTATGTAGCGGATAAGGGTACTTTTCAATTGTGCGAATAGCCAGTACTTGCAACTTCTAACGCAAGTCATACTCACTGCGACTGGGTGTAATGTGTGGTTGTGGATGTGTAACGCTCCTCGCTAGTAGTGCTTTCATATATGTTGAACTCTGTGCGGAACGTCCGCAGTGGCCTTTGTTCTTGAAGAACACGCTGAAAGTAAACATTTTGCGACTTGCAGGAAACATATCTAATTATGCGCTTTACGTATGTTTGCTATATATTTGTTTCTACATTGAATATGGTATATTCAAAATTCAAGTTACTTTAAAAAATCTGCAGTTTCAATTGTTTTCCAATAAAAACCAATAAATGATAAAAGAACAATAACTTTCAATATAAAATTTCCTATTTTAAATCAAACTTTTAAGGCAAAATTTAATTCTTGGTAATTGAATCTATTCATGAAAGCAGTTTACGTAAAATATTGTTTTTTCTGAAGACACTGGGTACATCTGGGTCAATCTGTCGATCTTCGATTCCTAAAGCCAATTAACGACCGCCGTCAGCCACGCTGTAATCGTCCACGGATTTCTTGCATGCATTTAAATGAGTCAGCGGCGGTGCATAAGTTTACATGCGGCGAGACCAGCGTATAATTGGACCACGTGCCGCGCCGCAATCTTTCAGCCGAGACGATTCTTAAATATAGCATTGCTCACGCACGCGCCGAGCGCGCACCACTCTTACGCAAAATTTTATTCCGCGCGACGCACGCCTTGCCTTTAATTACCTAATTCCAAGAGGTATCACGCATACCAAAACGCGTAATTTCGAACGTGAATACACCGGTCTTGCCTAGCAGTTGTAGGTGTCCGTGGATCTACGTCACCTGCTTATGTCATCGCGAAGACAGATGGCTTTCTCATTGTCAACTCATGAACTCGAGAAAACATGAAAGAACATGTTTGTGCAACTCGATGCGAAATGAAGAACAAGTCGGAGGACCTTGAAATCTCGATGAGACATAATTCAATTACGCGAAAACATTACGTAAAATTTATATGCATACATAAATTTTAATTCAATGCATAATAATCAAGCAGCTACGTCCAATATTGAACACAGGACGCGAATATCTGTAAAAATATTTGACATAAACCGAATTGACTTTAAAATCTTGAAAGAATTTTAAGAAGTCGCCGCCGCTGCGGATAAATTGAAGGAGATTAAATTATCGTCAAAATTGCTAAAATAAAAAAATTGATTTACAGCAATCTGTATGAATGCGTCTCCCGAATTCATCGACAAAATATCTCCAGCTTTCTGACGTTAACAGCATTAATTCATATTATACAAATAAAGCAATTCATATAAATAAAAATAAAATTAACAAGAACACGAGAAATGTGTATTAAAAGTGACCATGAAGCACAACTCGATTTAACTGCATCGTAAATCTATCGACCAAAGGAAATATATTTGATTAATGTGATCGCTGACCTTCGAACAATTGATCGTTTATTGTACCGGTTGCACGATTATATTGATGAAAAATTAATTTACTTGCTTTCGTTGTCACGTGTTGTTTATTCAAAAAGTAATCGGGAAGTCGTTCAACTTGGCCAGACAGTATATACACACGGTATATTTCAGGCGTTGCGTCTTAACTGTCAGACAATTTCGTCGCCGTTTGATCATGATGCATGCATATACACGTAAAAGCAGAGTCACTTAAAAGCATTTACGATGTTGCGATAAACGGAAATCAAATAAAGAATGACGGTCGTTTTATCTTCAGAATGTGAATATAATCTTTGAATTTCAAGGAACTGAAGATTAAAAGCATTTTGAAACAAACGAGTAAAAAAAAATTTTGGATACAAAGAAATTTTATTCGATCTACAAGACCGCTCTGTCTTCTCTCTTTTCTCACTCGAGTATTTCGATCAGTTTCTGGGTCACTCTGTGCACGCGTTAAAATAAGAATCTGCTATTAGGTACGCTGGTCCGGCGAGTTTTCAAACGACGAGCTGCCCCGGGAAAAATGACAATGCAGTCGGCAGTGCAACGTGCGTAATCCAAGTGTGCGTCCGCATTCTTGTTTCTGATCGCGAAAATCGATTTCCAATAAAATCGCGCTATCGATAAGAAATACGAGTGGACGATGTGATGGTTTACCTTGTCGGAGCAGCGTAATCGCGTCGCAGAACGGTGAGCCGATAAGGCTAATCAGAAACGAAACGAGTCGAACGCTAATGAAAGTTTGGCGAACGTTGCATTCTGTATACGTAAAAATTAATATAACACATAAAAACGTATAAAAATTAACTTTAAGTATTTTTCGCTTAATTTCGATAAAAACGAAAACATCAGCATTAAATTTGTAATATATGCCGCGAAAATGTAAAAATTTATTACTCCAGTGATTTATTTTACTAATTTAAACGTATATACATTTGCATTCCGCGATAAAATCCGAGAGCGAATATAGACGTCGGCAATAAAGTTCATGAATGTGAGTTCATGAATGTGAGTGTCAGCAATAAAGTAGACAGATATTCACGGTAACAACAAACACCGACCACGAGACATTCATTTATTCGAACTCACGCTCGAGCTAAGTAATTTGGCAAGTAGTTTTTCGATTATTTTTAACGGAAATGATACCGCAAAAAGTATCGCCAGATGTACCCAAAGTATTGTAAACGGGATGTGACACGTAATATTAGAATTGCAGAGAATCTGCAGCTGATCCGTCATTCTTTTGAGGACCACAGAAACATTCCAAGTCACGATTATGTCTCGTTTTGGCATATGTTAACTAACAACCTCCAAAACCTCGTCACATTTACATCAATTTTAAAACTTTCGAATACATCAAATAACAAAGACCGAAATTAAGAACTTTATCCCTCCATTCCTGTGGTATTCTTATATTAATCCGCGAAAGTGTCAAAATCGACGGGCAGTTTCCAGCACAACGAATTGTTGCTGCAAACATGTGACTCGATCGACATCCCATGGGCGTCATCCAGGCGCACGTCTCGCTCCGGCAACAAAATTAATTCATAATCAACCTCTCGTCTCAATTTATCACTCGCTTCTCGACACGTTCGAAATCGCCGGTATCCGATTTCACCGAACGGATATATCGATGCATTCCGTTTCCGGAGCGCACGCGACGCCCGGTGTATCCCTTCGCGACTGCACCGCGTCCCTTCTCTGTACCTTTCGCACGATCATCGTGATCGCTCATCGGGGCACGTCGGAGCGAAAACGCTCTCGCGTTCCTATCGCGCTCACGACGACGAGGTATCTAATCGGTTTACGCGACCGGCGAGCATGCTCTCTCGTCGGGCAGACGGTCAGCTGCGCGACCGACGGTCCCTCACTGCGGCGGCTCGTCTCTCCCTCTCGCGACGACGTCGCCGGCCCTCGGAGGAGACGCGAGTGGCGGCGCCGACGCACATCCCGGTCCAGTGGCGCGTCTAAGCGTGGGCGCACAACTGGCACTTCGTTCATGCCGCTCTAGGAGCCCGGGGCTCTCTCTGTCTCTCTCTCGAGTGAGTCACAGAAAATCGAGTATCGCTCGGTTCCACGAGTCCGCGTTATGGACGACCGTCGTTAATTCCGATTGCGTAAATCTTGACTTCGCCTTCATTTCACTTTCGAGGGCAAGCCTATTTCACGTTTTTCGGCAATAGCTCGATGCGACTCGGTCGTAGCTCGTTTAATATTTCTTGTCACACACGGATCGGAGTCGTAAATACATTGCGATGCTTATTTCGCGACGATGCGTTAAGAATTATAGATATTACTGAAGACTGACGGTCCTGCCTCTCCGATTAATCTTGACTGACGCTCGCGTCGCAGCAGAAATTTGAAATTTATTCGTAAAATACCGCGCACATTTCTGATCTCTTTACCGTAAATTCAAATTGAGGATTTTAATTGGCAAAGCGAGACGTTCATTGAAATAAAGCGACGGGAAGACACCGAGAAGATACCGTTAAAGCGAACTCGCGCGAGCTGTTCAAGAATCACGGTGAAATTAATTAAAATATACGTAATTAAATTAAACGCGTTTAATATAACGGACGTGCATTCGTTCTCATTTTTCACCTTAAATTGGCACAATGGGGGGGTCTCAACAGGTGTAAACGCGCCACTGCTATTTCATTCTTCGCACCGACATCACATCGCGGCGGTCCTATCGATCCTCGCACGAGACCGTCACGATGAGCGGGAAAGATGAAAAGCCGCCGTTTAATCGGAGGCGAAAGTCGGTCGCGTGTCAAAAGCGGCTGTTTCGCTCGATCACGACCGAGGAAGTAAGTGACCTCGAGGTATCGGCGTGACGAACGTGATAGCGCGCGAGCTTGACGACGGCGTGAGCGCACGCGAACCGGCGATTGCACAATTAAAAAAAGGAACAAAAAAAGAATGTATTCGCACGCCTTCCGGCGTATATATTACGCGTTATGGCTGGCGAAACGCGTAATAATACCGAGAAAAATAGTCGCTATTTCTGATGTCGTCGTCATTCGGAATATATAATTATACCTGCGGGAGATGTGGGCACACACATACGGATTCTCGACATGAGAGCGCTCGTTCATCGCCGCTCATTAATTTCAGCTTATGTCACGTACGCCCGTTTGCCCCGAGGCCGAGGAATCTCGATCGAGTCATTTTCTCGGAGGATACGCCTCTCTCGTTTCGTGTCAAAAAAAAGGCCACGCGTGCCTTTCAATCGATTTGTCCCGACCCGACTGTCGCAAGCACTACCTTCGAGGAGCATATTGAAAACCGAGAGCACTTCTACTTTCACATTTATCTCTGCATGTATTTACCTCATATTTGACCCAAAATTTTATTTAAAGAATGTTTTACTTGTGTACGCGTAATATAATAAAAAAACGTCCGTTGTATAATATCCAATGTTAATGTCGTTATCATTTTTTTACTGTACGGAAAGAACGATTTTGGAAGGTCAAAAAAATTTAAATACGAAAATAATTTTGTTAAAAATTAAAAAAATGATAAGCATTGCTGTAAAACGTTTTAATATTCTAGTCAGTTTGACTTTTCGGCAAAATTATTTTGATAGTCCAACATGAATTTTCAGATCTGTAATCAGCAAAACCTTTCAGCAAAATCGTTCTTTTCATGTACGGAAGTTAACGTTCTCTCTCACCGCGAGGATCGATGCGCGCCGAACGACTTTGACGTAATAAATCACCTTCGCGTGATTAGAAATAGTTCTAATTCGTTATCGCGCGACGAGCCGTTCGCCGAACGTAGAAGTTGTTACGGATCGAGGATGTAATAGCGGATCCACTTCGCGGATACTCGACGCCCATCGGCAATGCAAATTGCAGGCCTTGCCGTTGGTTCAATATTAATTCCGTTCACGTTTCGACACGGCGCACACGTGGCGAAGGTTAAACCTAATCTAAAATATCCGGCAGCCCACTTCGCCTACGGCCCTTCAAGTCGACCTCGGTTGCTCAATTAGCGATAGAAAAACTCCTCTCGGAAAACCCTCTTGAAAAACAACTCCAATGAACGATTTATACTTTATATTCTACGCCGAGACATGACGAATGGCAATTTCTATAAAAAAAAATATCAAACATGTTGAGGACTCGTTATTTTTCCTTCCTTTCTACCGATGAATCCAAGATTCTCTGTCGCAGAAACACATTATACAGCCTAACTCTCAGAGAGTCGATCTCGATCGCGAAAAGAATAGAAAAATGAAAAACTCACCTGTAAGGAAGTGTCCTCAGGATGTAGTAGCGCCAGCTGCCTGACTCGCTCCTCGAGCAGATTCACGAGGGTCGTGTATCTTCGGTTCAAGGTATCTAGATCGCGCGCAACATTATCGACTGTAATAACGGAATCTCGCCGCGGCCTCTTCACCGATGCGTCCAACGACGGGCAGATATCTTCCAATTGTTCTTTGAACGCTCGGAGCCTTTGTCCGTAGATCTAGGGGTTTCCGGTTAGTCCGTTATGGTTAGTGCAATTAGATCGGCGGTGTGTGTGCGGCACAATTACCGTTAGCGATTCCGAAAGCGACAGCGAGAGACGCGGGCGTTAAAACCGCCGCGCGCGGCTTGCTTAATTTGTGCGATCTTTTCGACAACCCAATGTGGTAACTTCCGGTAAACGGGTGCGTTAATGGTAGCTGCCGGTTACTCCCGTGGCGCGTGTAATACGTTAATCTGAACGCGTTTGGAATAATTTCGGGTACTACTACGGTAGTCGCGTCACCAGGACAAGCAGCGATCAATGAAATCGCGCTAGAATTAATAATGGTAGAGAAATATGCCTAATTCGTGCCAAAATGTAATTATGAGTACTCATTACGTGTACCTTCGCAAACTTCCCTAATGTATTAATCGGTCAGGCTCCATCTCGCTGCGCTGCGCATGCTATACCTCACTGGGTTATCTGCTATTTCCAGCATTTCGGGGGAAATATCAATTGTATCGTGTTAAGCGCTTAAGCGAGATATGCGATATCTAGATCTTTACAAAAAAAATCGGCTACTAAGTCGCCGCTAAACGAGGTCGTGCAGCTCATTCAACCGTGCTTCTGATGTAACTGTGTTAACAGGGTTGCTGTTATAAAGTTAAAAAAGGAGAGAAAGGCCAAGTGATATTACAAATGCGCGCTGCTAGTAGATCGTATCGTCTCCTGCTGCGTTACATAAGTGAGTATATTTACTTAATGAATGGCGGTTAAGATGGTTTGTGCCGTTTTAATGGCACGGGGCCCGGACGCAAATAGAGAATTTCACCGCTAGAAAATTTGACATGACATCGAGAAGACGGTGGAAAAAGGACAGCAGCAGAAATTCGACTGTAAAAGAACGTTTCATGTTTTATACACAGCAGATAAAGAAAAAAACGCGTCTCGGTGCGTCTTGTGACTGGCTCGCTCGATACTCCAGAAAAAGCGGCCGCTCCGACGAAAGCGCTAAATAAAGGGGAAAAAAAAGATTCGTCGCGCGCATGATCTCTGAAAAATCTCGAGGCGCGTACAAATAGACTGTGATGACACCTGTATGTATGTAAGACACACGCAGAACTCCATTCATGCAGGCATTCACACCGTAAGCTAAGGCTACCTATGAGGCTTACTAGGCACCGAACTATACATTACGATCCACATTTCCTCACCTTTCCTTCACGGATCAGTCT